CAGTAAGTTACTATTCAGTAAATGACTACAAGCAGGCTAGGCATGACCCACCCTTGTATAGGCTTGCTTCTGTTTTTCCCTACATATCTCATCATACAAAGCTTCACAAGTGAACCACAGTGGTTCATGAATAATAAGCACCAAAATGCAAAATGTATTCATATTTCAGGCGGTCTCCATTATCATAATATTTTGCAAACTGGTTCTGACACTGTGTACTCTGGTAGGTTTTTACCAAAATTCTCAAGTGAGATGGAGAAATATTTTCACTTTCACCCTGAAAATGGAGGCAGGAGGTTCCTCAAAAAGGGGCAGTAATAACCTATAAGCCAATATGGTACCATAATCCACATCTTCACTGTCATGAAATCCACAAGACTCATGAAGGAAACTGTTCATACAAAACGTGTACACTGTTTGTAATATTCATTCATGCCATAATGTTACCAATCTGAAAAAGAGGGCCATGCCATAGCTCAGGTGGTTAGTCACTGGCTTCCCACAGCAGCAGCCCAGGTTTGTTCCCAAATAAAGTCATGTGGGATTTGTGGTAGATATAGTGGCACTGAGGCAGGTTTCCTTAGAGTCTGCTTCCCCTGCAAATTCTTATTCCACCAAATGCTCCATATTCATCTATCATCTGGGGCTGGCAAAAAAGGCCCCACCCCAAGAAACTATAAAGAAAAACTGAAAAACGAATGTGTCCTGCTACATGGTTGCCAAGCTGTTATCCTACACATTAACTAACTTCATGGAGCTGAGTCCTTCTTCAGAAGCCACCAGTTGCACAGCTACTCAAGAACTTCCCAGCTCACAAGAGCCCTCCACTGGTCCCTATCCTGCGCCCAATTAATCCAATCCATACCATCCTGTCTCTCTAAGATCCACTTTAATATTGTTCACTCACCTACGCCTTGGTCTTCCCAGTGGTCTCTTTCCTTCTGGCTTTCCCACCAATATCCTATATCCATTCCTCATCTCCCCCATTCATACTACATGCCCTGACCATCTTATTCTCCTTGACTTGATCATTCTATTCGTACTTGAGTATAAGTTATGAAGCTCCTCAATATGCAGCTTTCTCCAACCTCCTGTCACTTCATCTCTCTTCTTTCCAAATACTCTCAGCACCCTATTCTCAAACACCATCAGTCTATGTTCCTCCCTTAATGTCAGAGACCAAGTTTCACACCCATACAGGCAAAATTATAGTTTTGTATATTCTACTTCTTATGTTTTTCGACAGTAGACGAGAAGACAAAAGGTTCTGGACTGAAAAGTAGGAAACATTACCCAAATTCAATCTCTTAATTTCCTCCTAAATCAAATTTCACAAATATCTGAACTGTGCCACATTTTCCAAGCATGTATTAGCTAGCTTTATATCATGATTTTTCCTTGCATTCTGGTGAAGAGACAGCAACATATACTTTGTTTTCTCTGCATTTACTTCTAGACCAACATCCTTACTTGCATCAATTAAAGTTTGTGTGTTTTTCTTTATGGTATCTATATTATCACCCAGCAGAGTCACATCATCGGCATAGACCAACAGCTGATGTGTCCCATTTAATTTCAGTCCAACCTGGTTTTCCTGGACCTTCCTAAGGGCATATTCTAAAGCCAAGTTGAAACGGAGTGGCGATAAAGCATCTCGTTTTAGACCATTCTGAATAGGAAAATTATCAGACAAATGTTTACCTATATGGACTTTACTATAGATTTCATTTAAACACATTTTAATCAGCCTAACTAGTTTCATGGGTACCCCAAACCTTATGAGAATATTGTACAGTACTTCCCTCCTAACTGAATCATAGACTTTCTTAAAGTCTATGAATAGCTGATGTACTGTCTCATTGTAGTCCCATTTTCTCTCCAATATCTGACGAATGCAAAAGATCTGATCTGTAGTTGATCTGTTACATCAAAACCCACACTGATGATCCCCAACAATTTCATTTATATATAGACTTAACCTTGAGAGAAGAATATTGGATAACATTCTGTATAAGTTGATAGCAGTGATATCCCTCGATAATTACTACAGTCAGTTTTATCATCCTTCTTGTGAACTGGTACAATAATATGCTCCTTCCACTGATCAGGCAATTTTTCCTTATGCCAGATAGAAGTAATTAGCTTATGGATCTTAGAATGTAACATTTCGCCTCCTGCTTGAATAAGTTCTGCCAGAATTTGATCACTACCTGGCGATTATACTTTTCAATTTTGCAATAGCACTTTCAACCTCAAAATGGCTAGGATCAGGTACTAACAGCTTAGCTGTATGGATTTCTCTCTGCCTAATATCACTTACCCTATGTACATTCAATAAACGGGAGAAATAGTTCTTCCACCTATTCAAAATGTTGTGGGAATCTGCAAGCAGATTACCATTCTCATCCTTCACTAAGTTACTTCTAGGGCTGCACCATAGCTCAAGCGGCTAGTCACTGGCTTCCCAACACGGTGACCCGGATTCGATCCCGGGTCTACTCAAGTGGGATTTGTGGTGGACAAAGTGGCGCTAGGGCAGGTTTTCTCCGAGTACTTCGGTTTCCCCTGCCAATCTTCATTCCACCAATTGCTCCACAATCACCCTCACCTATCATCTGGGGCTGGTACAATAGGCCAGAAGTGGCCGCAGTACAAGGGACTTAGCCTATTCCACTAGCAATAAAATAAAAAAGTTACTTCTAGGTTGGTAACCCCTCTTAAAGTCATTTATTTCTCTACACAGGTTTCTAATGTTCTTGTTCATCAATGTTCATCAATTTTGTCATTCATATATTCTCTCTTTTTACGCCTGAAATGTCTGCTAGCTTCACATCTCATATTGTTCAGATCATCCCCATTCTTTTTGGGGGGGGGTTCCTGTAACCACTGCAATTTGGTTTCTTTCCTTTGATCTAATAATTTTGGGCATCTTTCATCAGAACCATGGCTTATGATGATTCAGTTCATAATAACCTAGACTTTCTTTGGCAGAAATTTTGAATGAATTTCAGAATTGTTATGAAATTTCCAGAATTAAATCTGTGTCACTTTCATCTTCAAGTAAATTTAAAGTACAATGTTTATAAAAATAATCCACACCCATAGAAGACCTAAGACACCAAACACCAGAATGTTATTCATGAAATCACAGAATTTAATGAAACTTTTTACACTGTATTTAAATAAAAAATTATACCTTAAGTATTTGAATACAATCATGGTAAATCCAGTGAGTTTACTAGAAACACAAATAATGTTAACAAAGTACATGTCCAATTTAGTTTTCAAAGGGTTATTACTTATCCCTCTGCCCTATGTTCCTCTCCACACCTAGCCTTTCTGTTAGTACCACTTCCTTCAAAAAAGGTAAAAAAAAAAATGTAAAGCTATCCCTGTAACAGGCCGTGGAAGCCCATAGGGTTGTGAGACGTAGAGGATCCCCACATTTTCTAGACAATGAGCTCACATGTGGTGGTGAGGTTGTCATAGTTACATACCGGCCACCCTTTACTCCCTGAGCGATTTCTGGTACTCATTTCTGTTAGAGGCCAAGTCGACCCCAGGGCCACAGTGCAGTTGAAAGCATTAGGTCAATTGAAAATTTGAATGATCTCATTGGGAATTGAACCCATGACCTTCTAGTTTGTAGCACAGTGTCTCAATCAACTATGCTACTGCATGCCCACACTTCTTTCTAAATCTTTTCCAATTAATCAGTCACTCCATCATCCCATGCTGCATACTGACTCATTAAATAACTTACAATATTTTAAAACTGATTACCATATCCAAAATCACTTTAAATATCTCAGACATAATTTAAATGAACTTTCATGGTTCTGACACTAAGAATTTAATCAACTGTCACACATCAAAATGTCCATTATCTGTAGCACCAAAACTACTGTAAACCAATAATTCTTCTAAAGAGAAATATCCCAAATTCAACGTATTGCAGAGAATCCAGATCTCTAATCTCAAAGACCTATTTAAGCTAAATTTAACTTTCATTTGTACCATCAATGCAAACTCCTTCCAGCACGACTTCTTCAACGTATTGCAGAGAATCCAGATCTCTAATCTCATAGGCCTACTTAAGCTAAATTTAACTTTCATTTGTATCGTCAATGCATGCTCCTTCCAACAAGATTTCTTCAAGCGCTAGGAATTTAAACCAGATATACTTACCCCACAATGCTATCTGTACCCGGAAACATACTCAGTTATTTGGTAACTACATTTGCAAAATACATCAAAAAATATTCGTCATAATTAGGAATTGTTAAACAATACTTTTTTTTGTGCGCAACTGCACACAGTGCAGAAGTCCAGAATATTAAACTTTCAAGCACAAGCATATGGGTCATTATTAGAAAAAACTGAATCTAAAGTTGGTAAACTTAAAGCTCTAAAAGCCGATACCGCCTTATAGTGCGAAGCTACGAAGAACGCGGTTTTCCAGCTCGCAAACCCCATGCTTCGGAGAGAACGCGACTTTTCTGCGAAGCATCGGCTCCATTCGAGGTCAAATCGCACGCCAAGCAAGTGCACAATAGGAGCGCGTGTTGCAACACAGGCGGTCGTATTTCCCTACATCTTCAACTTCCTAATGCCAATAACCGCCATGTGCAAACACTCCAAGGGCATTAGCCGATGTTAAAAAAGTAGCTACGCATGTCGCCCCTTGGCTTACTCTTCGTCTTAAGATGGAGACAAATACATTCCTCCGAAACGTCAGTAAACTACTACCAAACCATACGGCGTCACGTTCCAGAATACGGTACTCTTCTTTCCGTGTTTCTTCTTATTCTTCTTCTTCACTATTCCGACTTCGCTTCTTCTTTCTTTTCCAAGACCTTCCTCAGTCCCGGAGTATTTTGGTTTGGGCTGTATAACCTGTTGTTATCCATGAAAAACGTCTAATTTATTGTGTACTGATTGTGTCCATATTGCATTATCATGAAGTAAAATTTCAGGTTTCTAAACGTTGACATGGGTTGATTTTATTCAGATTCAGTTACCAGCACTGACATTCGGCTTCGCATAGTGTTTTGTTTACGTATTGAAATGTGGGGTGGTGTGAGAGTTATCAGGAGGATATGAGTAACATGTTAGATAATTTTATATGAAATTGGTCGATGGAATTTAGAAGGCTTAAATGACCCCTTTTAATAAATGGGGCTTTTAGTCCATTTGTGTCGATACTGTGACTAATCTAAAGAGATCATCTTCCGGTAACCTATGAAGAGCCAGCCTATGGATAACTTGGTATATTTGGAATATGCCGTTGCTGGCATTATACGATATTGGTTAATCAATTCTGATTATAAACAGACCATTGGAGATCGTGTCGAGATTTCGACGTCTTTAAATTCATGGAGAAAGGGTAATATATATCTGCATACAAATGCTGCTGATGTAACCTATGTGCTGTCTACTTCATACTTTCAGGAGATTATCCTGAGTTACTAACCAAGACCCTTGTTAATTCGTAATTTTTCTGTTTCTGTGTAATGTCTTTCAGCATCCCATACAAAATATAACTTGAACTTGATGTATCAAAGTAATCATAATTTCCACAATGCAGATTGATTTTTTTTTCAGTAACTGAAGGTGCTTATTTATATAGCGAAGGAATAAATCCATATGTGGGTGACAATTTCCATGAAACGCCATTGGGACTTATTGTATTTAACAAACTGATAAGTCATATACCACAGTGGATAGGGATCATCTTCATTGTTTGTGATTTGGTTACTGCACATGTGTTGTACCGTACAGCACAAACTTTCATGAGTGAGCTGGTAGGTTGATAAAGAGCTTAATTTCATGTGTAGTTAGAATTTTATATTCTCTTGGAATAGCTGAGAATTGCAGGAACACTGAAATATAAGTACATGGTTAGGTTTATGTCTGATAAAATTGGCCACTAATGTGTTATTTTCTTTTTCAGTTTTCAAGACAAATGAGGAAAAAAGAAAAATATGCCAAAGGCACAGAAACACTTCTTCTGAAACAGTCAGATCTTGTGTTACCACCAGTTTATGTAGCATCTGCATATCTCTTTAACCCATATATCATATTCAGCTGTGTTGGTCAGACCACAACAGTATTTGCTAATCTTTGCCTTGCATTTACATTTTTATTAATGATAAAAGGTTTGTTTTAAAATAGGTTCTCCTGCACTATTTAATTAAGTAGCATTATAGAGCAGTCATCCTTTAGAAACAAATAATTGCTCAGCTGGTAAAGAAAATTCGTGCCTTTTGTAGAACCCAAAGATTCATTACCACATTCACAAGGACATGCCACTGGTTCCCATCCTGAGTAAAATTAGTCCAGTCCACACCCTCACTGTTTCCTTTAGATGTTTTATTATTGTTCTCTTTATCTTGTTCTTCCAAATGTTTCTGCAGGTTTTCCAACCAAAACTTTGCATGCATTTCTCCTCTGTCCCATGCATGTCACGTCCTATTCATCTTCTTTGAACTGATTATCCTTATAATATTTGGTAAGGGAACGTCAGTTAGATTGATGTACAGTACTGAATCATGGGGTTTCTTGATTCTATAAATATCTGATGTCATATTTAACCCTTTTCTGCCTCCCCCAGTATATGATGTATGCAGAATATATGGTCATTATTTGATCTAGTACATTGAAATCCAAATAATTTCATCTTATATGATTAACCTTGAGAGAACATAAAATTTTATGTGGTTCATGATATTAAATTACTGCTAGTCATTCTTCCTTATTACAAATAGAATTAATAAGTTCATGGATCTCGGAATATAATTTTTCATGTCCTCCTTAAATCAGTCCTGCCAGAATTTAATCAGTACCTTGCGATTTACACCTTTTCAGCTTCGAGAATTTTGGTTTTATTGTGTATAATGAGTCAGATGTGTCAAATTGCATAGCAGAGTACAAATATTGTTTCTGAACATTATCCATTGTCTGTTTTTATCTAAAACACCATCCTATTTATATTTACAAACACAAAGTTTCGGAGACTGGATTGTTTCCAAAATGTTTTGAAATATAAACAGGATGGTGTTAAAAGTATGGAGATAGGGACTAGCTTTATCGATTGGGCCCAACTAAGTAGGTTTTACCTGAAGATGGAGATAGAATCCAGTTGAATTTTGAAATATACACAGGGCGGTGGATAATGTCCAGAAACATAATATTTGTACTATGTACCATCACAAACTTTTGGATCGTATGAATAGTAGAGTATTATTTTTCTTTCTGTAAAGGCTTGGGCTCTTGCTTCAAAATTACTCATAGCTGCTATCATAGTTCTGTTCACTGCAGATTTGAAAGTGTTAAGTAGTTTTTAGTTTCTTGTGGTGGAGTGAGACAGTCCACTTGGTACGTTGGCCACCATTTGGCCTACTGCACTAGCCCCGGATGACAGATGTGGAGCAGTCGGTGAAATGAGAAATGGCAGGGGAAACCAAAGTATGTGGAGAAAACCTGCCCCAGTGCCACTTAATCCCACATTACTTGACCTGGGATCAAACCTGGGTCACCATGATGGGAAGTCAGTGACTAACCACCTGAGCTGTGGTGTGGCCATGTTATTAAGTAACTAAGAAATAACACCATAGGAGGTGCAGGAGACGTACGTCAAAATTCTGGTCATCCTACTGTAGCTATCTAAGTTGAAAATCATACAGCTTTATATCAGAGACAGTCACAGTTTTTAGTGCAAGGTGATTTGACAACTTTTATTTCTAGATAATCCCCCCCCCCCTTTTTTTTAAAGTAAAGGAGTGTAGATGTGCATGAAATTCTATCTACAAAGCTGAAACCCTGCTAGCTCCACAAGGGTTTGAACCAAACACCAACAGGGTATAAATGTTGAGCCATTAATACAAAGAATAGTAGTGTGATGCGTGCGCTCTGAGTCATATAGTTCAGCAGGTCACAGTTCATATGCTTGTCTGCATCATAAGCCCTGCACTTTTTTCAAAATGAGTTTAATTAACATTAACAAACTTGTATAGTTCCTAGTGTCTGTGTGTTCAAAATTCAACTTTTTTTTTTGTCATAATTATACCTTTGGTCTATAATTACTGAATTGTAAGATTACATGTGCATCCAAAAATTTGAATTATTTTAATTTTTTAGTCAGTCTCTGCCTGGACAGATTATAAGATGATATTTAAACAGTTTTTGTGCATGTGCTGCACAGTAAAAATTTCCAGTTTTGTATAAATTAACATGTATGTATGATTTTAGGTCAGAGAATTGCTTGCTGCAGTGTATTAGCACTTGCAACATTGCAGTCCTTGTATCCAGCTACACTGCTTGTACCAGCATCAATTTATCTTGCCCGAGCAGAGAGTAGTAGTTCACTAGAAGATAAACAATCTCTACGAGCTAGTTCCTGCATTCTCACTGTTGTTACATTTATATCAGCTTTACTGTTGTTGCTGTATATATCATCAGAGTTGACTGGTGGCTGGGAATTTCTTCATGCAACCTACGGATTCATGTAGGTGCCAAAGAGGCTCCTTTGTATGATATTTATACTTCAAACTGTCATATCCCAGTGTGAAAAGCTGTACAGACAGATTCATCAGGATTTATCATGTATGATGACCAAACTGACTTCTGTGGCATGTCTGCTACTATTCCATCAAATTCTGTAGTACTTCATACTGTCACAAGATCATCTCACCTTTACATGTACTATTTCCTTGCTGTCATTAATAGCTGCACTGACTTTTCAAAAAGCTTGTTATGATAGTTACATGGATTAATGAATGAGATGGTTTATAGAAAATATTAATCTTAAAGAACTTGTGTGACTATCACAATTTGTTTCAGTCTTGCCTTGTCATAACTTGATGTCCATGAAGGCATGAAAGAGGTTAACACTGGCTGACATATTTGTAGCCAAATGTAAAACTTCTTGAGATCGTTTCAGGTTCAATAAAAGTGAGTGGAATGGTCTGAATTCCGCCTGAAAAGAAATTTGATGGCAACCTACTTCATCTAGCCCAGTTTCATACTATTTGTTTAATATTGCTTTAGTGCCTAGCAGTATTGTTAATCATTGATGATATGGGCTTTTTAACATGGTAGAACAAAAATTATGGAAGTTGGATAACTCAGTGCTAAAGTGTTGCTCGAACCAATTCAAGCATGTCAGGCAGTTTAAGTCTTATGGCCTTTAGAATGTTAGATGTTTAATCACTGTTTCCAGTGTGACATAAAAATGTTGTCCTAGTGATTTAAAATATACAGTACTTACTCACTAATGGAGCTGAGCCCTTCTTGAGGAGCGGCCAATTCTGCACCTACTCAAGAATTTCCCAGCATTTAAATATACAGTATGTGACTAATTAGTTGTATTAATGTTCTGTTGCAGTTTAAATGTTCCAGACTTACGACCTAATGTGGGCTTGTTCTGGTATTTCTTCACGGAGATGTTCGAGAACTTCCGTCTTCTCTTTATATGTGTATTCCAGATCAATGCTACTCTGTTATATTTAGTTCCTCTCACTTTCCGCCTTCATGATGAACCCATGCTGCTAGCTGCAAGTCTGACGGCCCTCATGGCAGTATTCAAGTCATATCCTAGTCTTGGAGATGTGGGCTTCTACCTTGCTCTCCTTCCCATGTGGAAACACCTATTCAATTGTGAGTTCTGATTCATACGAAATATCAGCATGTCATGTGAAACATTTCAGGCTTTGTTTACTAAATAATTTAATTTCTTGTTCTTATAGTTATGCAGCAAGGATTTGTTGTTGGCTGTTCCTTCCTCATTACATCTGCGATGGGTCCTATTGTATGGCATCTCTGGATTTATTCACGATCTGCAAATGCAAACTTTTACTTTGGGGTTACACTCGCATTTGCAACTGCTCAAGTAAGTATGAAATTCACTTCTGGAAAGACATACAACACCCACACATGATTTAAAATAAAATACTATGAACTGTGATGACTCGTTACACAAGTGTTAAAAAGTCTGGGAACTAGTAAGAGTTCAAGTGATGTTTCTTTCTTCCAGATCTTCCTTGTGACAGATATTCTGCTTGCATATATTAACCGAGAATTTTCACTTTACCATGGTCTGCATCATAAGGGTAGTGGGAAGACAACCAAATTAGTGTTAGAGTGAAGACAGAATAGGAATGCAATACTGTACACATATCTTCCCGTGAAGTGGTATGAAGCTGAAGAACTATACATTATGTGGACCACATCATGCAGTAGTTAGTCAAATTATGCACTTTACAAGGTACCAGTCATTCCACAGTTTTGCATTTCTTAAGAACCTAACACAGGCTTCTTAAGAAGAGTATAGACTTATATTTTAAATTTGTAAACAGCAAAGATGTGAAGTTGGACTTTTACATGACTACTTAATAAATAATATATTGCTTCAAGGATGGAGACTCATAATTCAAATTAATGTACAGTTTAATTTTCCTTAAAAATAGTCCCTTGCTGGCACTCCTCATATTCTATTATGCTCACATCGTTCCTTCACTAACTCGCATTCAGAACTGCACACAGCACTCGCTATCTGGATTGCCCCATCTGTCTCCCTTATAACTATTCTGCGTGGACCAAACGGAAAACAGAGCCCATGTAATGTCATTTACTTACTTACTCATGGAGCTGAGCCCTTCTCAAGGAGCTGCCAATTCTGCAGCTACTCAAGAATTTCCCAGCATTTTATGGAACCCGAAGGTTCATTACCGTGTTCACAAGAGCCCTCCACTGGTCCCTATCCTGCGCCAGATCAATCCAATCCATACCATCCCATCTAAGATCCACTTTAATATTGTCCACCCACCTAGGCCTTGGTCTTCCCAGTGGTCTGTTTCCTTCTGGTTTTCCCACCAATATCCTATATGCATTCGTCTCCCCCATTCGTGCTACATGCCCTGCCCACCTCGTCCTCCTTGACTTGATCATTCTATATATTTGGAGGAGAGTACAAATTATGAAGCTCCTCATTATGCAGTTTTCTTCTAACTCCTGTCACTTCATTTCTCTTCGGTCCAAATATTCTCAAACACCCTCAGTCTATGTTCCCCCCTTAATGTCAGAGACCAAGTTTCACACCCATACAGAACCACAGGCAAAATTAGAGTTTTGTATATTCCAATTTTGATGTGTTTGGAGAGCAGACAAGAAGACAAAAGGTTCTGGACTGAATGATAGCAAGCATTACCCGAGTTCAATCTTCTCTTAATTTCCTCCTGAATCAGGTTTCGATCTGTTATTGTTGTTCCCAAATATCTGAACTGTGCCTCATTTTCAAAACATCTGTTTCCTATCTTTGTCATGATTTTGCACTGCATTTTGGTGACGAGACAGAAACATATACTTAGTTTTCTCTGTGTTTACTTCTAGACCGACCTCTTTACTTGCGTCAGTTAAAGTTTGTGTGTTTTTCTTTATGGTATCGGCATAAGCCAACAGCTGATGTGTCCCATTTAATTTCAGTCCTATCTGGTTTCCCTGGACCTTCCTAATGGCATATTCTAAAGCAAAGTTGAAAAGGAATGGCGATAAAGCATCTCCTTGTTTTAGACCATTCTGTATAGGAAATTTATCAGACAAATGTTTACCTACACGGACTTTACTATACGTTTCATTTAAACACATTTTAATCAACCTAACTAGTTTCAAGGGATCCCAAACTATCAGAATACTGTACAATACTTTCCTCATCATACTCCCATTTTTTCTCCAATATCTGACGAACGCAGAAGATCTGATCTGTAGTTGATCTGTTATGTCGAAACCCACACTGATGATCCCCAATAATTTCATCTATATATGGATTTAACCTTGAGAGAAGAATATTGGACGAAATTTTGTATGAAGTTGATAGCAGTGATATCCCCCGATAATTACTAGTCAGTTTTATCACCCTTCTTGTGAACTGGTACAATAATACAAGTAGACTCCCTCCACTGATCAGGCAATCAGTAATTAGATTGTGGATCTTAGAATGTAATATTTCGCTTCCTGCTTGAATAAGTTTGCCGGAATATGATCACTACCTAGTGATTTATACCGTTTCAATTTTGGAATAGCACTTTCAACCTCAAAAGGGCTAGGATCAGGTCATGTAATGTCATTAAGTAATTATATTTTAGATGCACATATGACATATGCATTTGAGAAAAGCTTCAAAGCACTGTCAGTATATAAGTCTACAGTGCCCAAACTGTCAAAGAAACTAAAAAAAATATACTCACAAAAATCATAAATGTATTTGTTTCCTTAGACAGTCACCATTTGTTGTCTTGCATATCAATTCTGTATTCATTGTTACAGTAGCAATGAGGTGACCACTCACCTCTATTTAATGCCAAAACACAGAATGTGTAAAACTTTACCTACACTCCCTCGTACATCATCATTTGATGCCGCTTAGGCACAGAAACTTCACCTTTACTATGAGTCTTAATCACAAAATGAAATGATTCAGTGGCTGACATTTGCAATGAGCCTGGGACTGCAATCATAATTTTCCCACCCTAAATCATTTTGTCCTTTTAAACCTCATTTGCTGGCCATGAGTTGCAGTCACATGCTACTCTGTAACCACTACTGCATCAAAATCATGATTTCTTTGAACCGATGTATAACTGCCTTAATACATAACTCAAACTTGATCTCATTTTCTGAAATCATGTCTATTTCTGTTTTCCAAATTTCAGTAGTATTACTGCTTTGAAGAATTCTCATTTGCTTACATGTCCCTACTGTAAGAATAATCGCTGGATATTCATATATCCAGTTGTCATTTATTGGATACAAAGTAAACCACGAAGAATGTTCTGCATGAAAGTGCTTCCGTTTTAATTTGAGCTATTATGCAGCAATATAAATACATGGCTCACCATGTGAGACAGATTTAATGACTCAAAGTCACATGGCTCCAACTGCAATTTATTTGTATACAGGGAATTACAAATACCCTTCGGGGGATTAAAATATGAACAAGCAAGTAAGCTGTTCATTCTCTTCCTTATTACCTCTGACATATATGATCACTGTGGTGTCATGTGTACAGACGTATGGTTTTGTCAGCTCCACTGGAGAAAACCCAAGGTTGCGTTGGATGGAAAATGACATCAAATATGCCAAAGTCATTGTACGGTTCATGGTTGCTTAATCTCTTCAGTGGTACGATTAATGGATTCTGAAGGAGATCACTGAAAGCAAATAAGTACACCTTGGTTATTACAATTTGGTAAATCATATTTAGAACAGAAATGTAATTCATATTACATGCACTTTAAAGTGAAAATGGTAATGGAAAACATAACACAATTATGTAAGATTTGAGGTTTTCATGGCAGTGAACACAATTGTGTTAACACAATATCTACATGGCGCCACATCCCAGAAGACTGCTTTCTTCATGAGGGGATAAGGTGTAAATCAAGTCAAGATAATGGGCAGATATTACCATCAAGCAAACTTATATTTCATCTATGACATGTTCTTCAGGTGATACCTAATTTGCCCAGTGTTGGAACAGACTTAGTGCCATTTTGACAACACATCCTATATGAACCAGTGCAATGCAGTTTACTCTTTATAAATGCGAAGAGTGCTTAATGGTGAGCAAAATCTGGTTCAGTGTGAGTGAATACATACACACTACTTACATACTTATACATACAAAGGCTTTTATGTTATTCATGCATTCATTCATTCATTTCCTTTATTTTCCATATATCCATACAGGCAAAAATCCTAGGATGTGGAAATAGTCCATTTGATTATAGATGTATACATGTAATAGATTACATAAGTCACACAACTAAAATAACACACAATACAATATGGTTACAATATGCTATAAAGTGATCAAGAGTATGCAGTATCTTCAGGGGGCAACCACTACTCAAGGAAACTATACATAATTTACATAAAGATGTAAATATAACTGCAAATCCTTAAGATGTTTAAAATTAATAATATGCTGAAGTCAGCGATGAATGGAGGTAGATGCTTTTTATGCTGTCTTGTCAACATGATGCTGAAGATTACATTATGTGTGATAGGGGTCACAATCATCTTTAAATATCTTATTTATAGTCACATTACCAGGAATTGAATCCTGATTCCTCCAGTCATCCAACCCATGGCCTAGTCACTACACCGACTGAGCTATGAAGTTCTTTCTGTGTTAAGTATGAACACAAAATCTGTGGCTGACTGAATCAAGTTATAGACTAGACATTAACCCAGTCTCCTCAGTATGGCTAAGTACCCTGCTACAACTACACTGCACCGGAGATTGTGTGTCTCCATGGTCGTCATATCGTTCCCTGTAAAATTACAACTACAAAAGAAGTTTCATGGAGGTAAAAACATTTCATCTGTGAAAGTACAATGTACTTACTTGTATACCATTCCATGACAAATAATAAGGCTACGATCATCTGACCCTGATGCAAATAGAGGGTACTGCTTGTGGTATGCTACACCCCTCACTGCTGTTCCATGTAGACGCAGTGTCTGGTATGGTTTCGTTGAGAGGTCTAGGTCAAACCATAACATTTTGCGGTCGTATGTTCCAACCAAGAGGTTGTCTCCACCTAGAAGTCAATAATCATTCATCTAATATAAACAGCAGTAGCAACATGACATGTTATGTTCCTCTTCTGATAACAAGCATCTGATGTCTACCTTGATTTCAACTCTTCACACTATATTATAAGTGCACACATTGGACTATACCCCCACCGAAATTTCAAGAGCAACTTGTTAAAAACATACTTCACTGTAAATGTTTAACTTCAATAACCTGACCATCCCCCTATCTAAGCTACAGGATCAGCTGATGTGGCATCACTGTTCCTTTTAAATATTTTCGCACCAGGAATTGATCAACAGCTCTAATTATAAGATACTAAGCTTGATAGACTCTTCTCCAAGTATAATTAGAATGATCAAATAAAGGAGGATGAAGTGGGCAGGGCATGTAGCATGAATGGGGGAGACGAGGAATGCATACAAGATATTGGTGCGAAAGCCAGAAGGAAAGAGACCACTGGGAAGACCAAGGTGTAGGTGGGTGGACAATATTAAAATGGATCTTAGAGAGATAGGATTGGATGTTATGGATTGTACTGATCTGGCTCAGAATAGGGACCAGTGGAGGGCTCTTGTGAACATGGTAATAAACCTTTCGGTTCCATAAAATGCTGGGAAATTCTTGAGTAACTGCAGAATTGGCGGCTCCTCCAGAAGGGCTCAGCTCCATGAGTGAGTATTTTTCTCTTTATTGCTAGTGGGGTGGGACTAAGTCCCTTGTACTGCGGCCACTTCTGGCCTACTGTACCAGCCGCAGATGATAGGTGAGGGTGATTGTGGAGCAATTGGTCGAATGAAGATTGGCAGGGGAAACCAAAGTACTCGGAGAAAACCTGCCCAGCGCCACTTTGTCCACCACAAATCCCACTTGACCAGACCCGGGATCGAACCCAGGCCGCCGCGGTGGAAAGCCAGTGACTAATCACTTGAGCTATGGCGCGGCCTCATGGGTAAGTAAGTACTAAGCTTCATAGAATAACAATATGCTGATCTTATCTAGATGAAATATTCTGGGCAAGACTTGCTTATAGAAAGCAGACTTCATCATAAAAACCTAACCATTTTCTTCAGCTGGCAAGAGAGCACCACAAAAGCCATCATCTAGTACAAAACTTAAGTTCAACATTTCTTTCAGTCACAAACTGACAAAATGCAACAGTTGATGGTTGAGTAATTTGCCTCTCAGATATAAAATAAATATTGACAGACTATTTCACTAATAGCTGTTCTTTCCACATTACCACCATACACTCTTTTTTTTCCATGTACAGTTTGTAATCTTCCCTTGTACTGATATGCAGCCCCACATTCAGAAAGTTTAGATGTATGTATGGAAAAATCAAATTGCCTTCTTCCAACTGTATTTTTAACAATTCCTTATTTGTAAAGCTGTTCAGCACTGTAGATATATACTATACCACAAAAAACATCATAGAGGAATTACCTGGATGGATAGCAATAGATGAAATCCACTTAGAATTTGAATGTAACTTCTTCACTAATTCTTGTTTAGCCAAGTCATAGACTCGGACATGCTTCTGTGTCTGCAAAATAAATAAAAGATCCTAAACTTCCACAGTACAGAAATAAACTGCATTTTCATGTCATCTATACCATTCTGTTTTCGCCACGTCTGTATACATCACAGTCCTCCTCCTCCTCTTGTTCCCCTAGAGCTGTAAACTCCTGTCTCACCAGCAGGGATCTTTCTTACCTCTGCAGTTGTCCCATGGCTTTGGCGTAACTTCCAATTTGTGTGTCCCTGTGGGGAACTAATTGCCCCTACATGCAAGTATAGGTGCAGAGTCTGATCATGAATCATGCACACTCACGCAGTGGCTCATTAGGGGCCCAGATGGCACAGACACTCTGACAGTTGCATGATTATTGGTTTTGCTGTGTCAATCTGACATGTTATCACTGACTTGGAGTTATGAAGTAATCAACCAGAAGTATTCTGAAGCCACATAGGCCTATGCAGATATATGTTTGCACTGCACAGAGTGGAGAGTCATGGGCCATTATTTCTATCATAGGGACCTGAAGTCCACACTCATCAGTGGTGCAGGATTTGCCAATGATGTCCTGGAAAGGTTAACTCCTCTCAGTTATTTCATGGGACCTGGTCATGGCAGATGTCCCCACACTAGCACACACCAGAAGATTTGAGCATCCTGTCTTCTCTTTCTCTCTCCTATGGCAGGCTGATGCCAATGGTTCCAGAAGGAGGACCTTTCCATCATAGCTCCTACAGACTTAAAACCACAATCATCAGCTTCTAAATGAGACTACAGTAGTATTAAAGCCAAGAGAATAGTCAATATTAAAATGCTGGCACCATGGTTTATAACATTCAAACTGCAGAGTACCAAGAAGACAATGAAATATATCAATCCCTTTTGCACACAGAACGCCCTAGATGCTGTTACTGTGAAAGTCATGCAAGAATCCTGATTGAAGAATCATACACTTTTAGTGGATGTTAACAATGATCAGCAAGCACAGACTCCACTCAAAGTGCAACTCTCTGAATCCTTTCCTGTCTTGGTGAAGCAACATGTCTCCTTAAAATCCTCCAGGTAGTCATTAGCACCGACTGTCTGGATGAGATGACAAACAAACTCAGTTCTGCCTTTGCCAATTGGCCCACGTCAAGAGTGTAAAGGTTAACTGGGAAGAGCAATGGAAACCACTCCCTCTTCAGATGGTGTTCTTGACACTCAAAGCCCCTACCCTGCCTGTGACCATGAAAGAGTCAGTATATGAGTGCAAATCCTAAATCCAATGTGATGTTCTCACTGTTGGCCATCTGGGTATACCCAGCAATGATTTATGTTCAGCACTGCATTTGTGGTGAGAGTGGGCATGGCGAGGCACCCTGTCCCAAGCTCACTGTGTAAACTGTAATGGAGCCCATCCTTCTTACAAGAGCTGCCCTGTGTTTCTCAATAAGAAATTCATCCAGGAATTCAAGAGTGCAGGAAAACCCCATTTGTAGAAGAATGGAAAAAGTTCCTCAAGAGCAAACCTAGGACCAGAAATAATCATATTAACCAATTCTTTGTCAGTATCAGTGGACACATACAGATACAGTCCTGACATCTGCCTGGAGAGACTGCCAAAACAACTAAACCTTAGTCAGGATAGCTGATGACCCAACTGAGATTTGTATCGAGCACCTCCTGAATACAAGTTTAGAGCGCTACTTACAGACTGGCCTGTCTGATTACACTGGTATCAAGCCATGTAAGACTGATATTGTAACTGGGTTATTCTAAGACTGATAACTTATAAAATAATAATTAATATTGTTATTTCCACATACAAATATTTCAGGTCATGTAATATCATCACCACTTATTCACATAAGTGTGCACTTGTGTTTATGGCACTCAAAGTTACATGTTCACATGATAGCCTGTAGCATTCCAGATACATATGAGGTATGTTAACAAAGTAATGAGATTAATTTTGTACAAAATCATTTATTCAATTATTCATCTAAATCAACACTGTCCGCTTCAAAATAACATCCCTCTGATGCAACACAGTTGGCCCAGTGAATTTTCCTCGTCTCATGGCAGGATTGGAAGTCAGCTTCTGTTAGGGTCTTGATGGTGTCAGTTACAGCCTTCTGAATGCTGTCAAGTGTTTGAAAGTGACAGCCCTTGATTCTCAATTTTAATTTTGGAAACAAATAAAAATCACAAGGTGACAAATCTGGAGAATAAGGAGCCTGCGTAAGCACAGGAATAAACTTTCTTGCCAGAAATTCACAAACTGATAATGTTGCTTGCGTGGGCTCATCATGATGAAGCTCAAGGGATCCAATCGTCTGCAATTTCCATTCAAAATTGCATCGCCCTATTTCTCAGATGGTCCAGAACTTCAAGACAATATTTCTGATTCCCGGTGACACTAGGTGGTACAAATTCTTTACGAACTATCCCACAAGAATAAAAAAAATGATGACCATTGTCTTGATTTTTCATTTGCTCATGCAAGCTTACTTGGGACTTGGAGACTGTGGTGTGTGCCATTCCAGAGTCTGCCTCTTGGTTTCAGGATCATTTTTGAAAAACCAACCACTGTCACCTGTTATGACCTGATTCAGTTCTGAGCTGTTGAAGCATTTCTGCCTACGCTTTGTTTCAACACACTTCTTGATCGTCACTGAAATTTTTGGAACCACCTTTGCACACATGTGTTCATGCTAGCAAGTTCAAACTTGGACTGAAGGTACAAGAGGTATGTAGCTATCATCTCATAGTGGTCTCAGCGCCACAGTATTCCCAGTTCTCACACTGTAAAATTAATCTCATTACTTTGTTAACACACCTCATACTATAAATAATTTCAAAGTAGGGAAATGCTGTGTCTTACCGCAACAAAGAAAAATGGGCGTATAGGATGGAACAGCACACACTGCACCAAGCCTTTTGATTTGCTGAATGGAACCTGTGATCGTCGCTTTGATAACTGATGGATTATCACCGAACGATTTTGTCCTTCAGGCATTACAGTAGCAAAGTAGTCCCCTCTCCCATGCCATGCGACCTACATAAGAGGAAATTCTATAACAGTACTGCAATGCCATCATCTTACAACTTTCTCGCAAATTAACGAGCCACCCAGATGGAACAATGCTCCTAAATCTTTCTGGTTACAATGATTCAGACTACTAGCGGAACTGATGTGCCTGTATCATAATACAGTACAAATAAAATTTCCCTAGACTACAGCAGATGCTGGAAGTTCCTTTTCACAAATAGAGTAAATGTAAACCCTGAAACCCTGCTCTCCTCTACAAGGCATCTGAAAGATTTTCAAGAGGAATGTTCCCACCTAGCACCAATTTCATTCATTTTCTCTCCAGTGTGCATTTGTAATTTTGATTCAGCTACTTATTTTTTCTATTGCTAGTGGGGGTGGTACTACATCCCTTGTACTGTGGCCACTTCTGGCCTATTGTACCAGCCCCAGATGATAAGTGAAGGTGATTCTGGAGCAATTGGTGGAATGATGATTGGCAGGGGAAACCAAAGTATTCGGAGAAAACCTGCCCCAGTGCCACTTTGTCCACCACAAATCCCACTTGACCAGACCAGGGATCGAACCCGGGCCGCCACGGTGGAAAGCCAGCAACTAACCGCTTGAGCTATGGCGCGGCCATTCAGCTACTTCCTTTGTCCAGTAATGACAAAACTGGTGCTACACTTCAACATTCTCCTAACAACAACAAAAACAACAACAGAGAGCATTTCCAGCAACTGCTTTAAACTCAGTAAGTTTCATTTGTCATATGTAAAGATACAGGCCTGCTGATTAAGCTAGCAGTCCAAATTCCTGTGGCCAGACTACTCACAACAATCATCAATCTTCCACCTGGGCAGTTCGATAATTTGTGATAAGATTTATAATCATGCTGAATAACATCCTAACATAATGAACAATCACAGCAGACTGATTTTTCCTGCAATGATTATTGTCTTTTTCTAGAAGTTACCTGTTTTACTTCCTTGAAGTGATTGATTATAACACGAATCCCATTCTTCCAAACATCTTCAGAGGCCTGTTCCCACTGTACAGCTGTCTTCACCCTTTCTGACACTGGAATGAAAGCAATTATCCTATTAATCAGTATGTATGTATGTATGTGTGTGTGTGTGTGTGTGTGTAAGGGGAGGGCCATAAAATTCGGCCCTCGCACTGCGACCTTATTGTGCTTCCCCTTTGGATTAACCCTTCATTAATACTACATTTCAAATTAAACTCTTAATCAGTAACTACAATGTGGGACAAAGTTTTTCCATATGTAAGACAATATGAAGTCCTACGGAAACTATGAGCAATTTGTTCCTTATTAGGAATTCTTTACATCCACAGTATTAAATTTATGTAAAAAAAAGTAAAAAGTTGAGGTATCCCTGTAACAGGCCATGGAGGCCCATAGGGTTGTGAGACGCTGAGCCTCTCACATTTTCTAGACGATCGGCTCACAGATGGCAGTGAGGTTGTCTTACACACCGGCCGCCCTTTACCCCCAGGAATATTACTGGTATTCATTTCTGTTAGAGGCTGAGTCGGCCTCACGGCCATAGTCCAGCTGGAAGGATTAGGTAAATTGAAAAAATCCACCTCATCGGGATTCGATCCCATGACCTTCCGGCTTATAGCATAGTACCTCAACCGACTACGCTACCGCATGCCCCCATTAAATTTATGTAGCAGTCTGAATTATACAATCACATTTCCATCCATATGAGTCTGAATAGTACAATTTCATTCTTAGTATTATAAGAAGCACACTATGAGCAGTTCCCCATGGAACAGAAAATCATGTCAATTATTACATCAAAATTTCCCAAAAATTTGTGCCAAAAAAGAAAAGCATGGATTAGTTACTGAAAGGGAAACTGCAAGTTCAATTAAAGATACATCATTTGAGACACAATGAATGAATGAATGAATGTATGAGGGGTTGGCCTTTTTCGGCCCTTGCACCGCGACCTGTAGTGGTCTATTGTGCTTCCCCTTTACTGATTATCCCCTCAGCAGTCTCGTGTAACCGCACCATGCAGGAACCTCAGCAATGTTGTTGATTTACATTCCTAATTACAATGTACTACATGTAAACGAACTGTACTACTGTTAACAAACGATGATACAGAATTGACCCCAGCACCAGTAGACGCCAAGGACGACATCTGGTCTTTCTGAGGGACAAGCAAGCTGCAGGTCACTTGAAAACCCAGAATGGAGCAGGAAGTATCCCGCTGTGTTTTCTGGGAATTTCAATGCTTAACTTCGACGGTGCGAGTCTTTGAAAATTTGAGACTCGACAGATACGAGTCGCAATAATTTTCGGAGGGGCGTACCGAGCGATCGTTAGCGTACCTTCATTTATTTGAGAGCTGTCAGAAGGACCGTCTTGTACTTAGGCCCAAATTAACATGGATCTTGTTAGGGATTGGCTGAATGCAAATGAGAGAAACACCCAAATCAGCAAAATTTCAGAGGAGAGAAAACCAGGCGTTCCTGCTTTCTGTCAGGACTTCTGCCTCTCCAGAGCAGTCAGTCATCAAAAGGGAGTAACAGGAGTGAGTCGTAAAAAGGGAATAACAGGAGTCAGGAGTAACCTCCCAGATGTTAAATCGGTGTTGGCCTAGTCCGGCATACAAATTCAAAGTGCTACCGCCTTGTAATGTGTAATTCTAGCTCATATCTACAATAAAGAGCAACAGTGTTGAGTGAAGTGTGAGTTTTAAGTGTTTTCTCTCTCCTTGTGTGAGCAAGGCCCAGAAGTCGCCCTGAGACAGAATCTCGTCCTACAGTCTAAGCAGTCGGAACCCCAAACGTCTGCCTATCCATAACCCCACTTTTGTTTTCCCCGTTCCAAATTCATGGATTTCACCCAAGTCCACTGGCGTCCATACAAATCCAAATTCAGAGTAATCCCACACCCTACCCTGAACCAAACAGCAACAAGGAAGCAGCGGATGAAAGTGACACCAAATGTGAGGGCGGCCAAATAAGTGACGCCCATCGTGAGGGCGGTAAAACCCGTGCTTCGAATGAAGCACAGGATTTTGTACATGGGGGCATCAAAATAGTCACTTGGTTCAATAAAATATTGACCCAATTGGCGCAATCTTAAATAAGCTAAGGCCTCACATTCACACAGGATATGTGTGGCTGTTTCGTTTTCTTCTTGACACCTCTCACAAATGGGACTATCACTTAGTCCCAGTTTGAACAGGTGTCCTTTGAGGTGACAGTGTCCTGTAAGTAGTCCCGCCACCCATCGTAGGTGGTTCCTGCTTAACTTCAACAGTTCCTTCGCTCTTTTAGTAGAGGTTCCTCATATGAGTCCCTTTTCTTGCCTGAGTCCAGTCAAGGATCCCCAGTATTTGTGTTGCATGTTTGTCCAGTCCCTGATTGCCTCTCTGGCAACTCCTATAGAGATGCCACAGGCTGGTTCAGGTCCTATGAACGGATGTTCAGCTCCAATTTTGAGACATAAGGTTTTCATGGAACAGATTTACGTGTATATTGTAAAAAGAAACTAAGTTTATGCCAGAATTTCATTAGGAAGGGCATAAGAAATTACAGATTAGTATCTTCTGAATTTACAGTTGGGTGAAATTCTTTACAGTCTAATTTCATTAGTGAAAATAATTCACAATAAAACAAAATTAATTGCCCTACCAATAAAACATGATGAATGGGTGCACATTAAACAGGAATGAGAGAAGGGTCAAAAGATATGAATATCACAGAGCTGAAGCTATCTTAATGAGGAATACTCATAATGTAAGCTCAATCCTTACCAACAACATCCTGTTCTGGTGCCTCCTCCAGTAGCACGTCCGTCTTAGAACATACCAAATGATCCCCTACCCCTGGGTTAACCAAGAGAACTTTACGATCTGCTGCAACGGCGATTAGTGCCAGAGCCTGATTTGGACACCAACTAACAGACCGAACTACACCACCCACAGGAATTGTACGAAGGCAACGTCCAGTAGATATCTCCCACACTGAAATGACATAGACATGAGAATCCATTCAGCAGTTTGTGTGTTCATGCAAACAGATACAGAGAGAGCATATTTAACAGGTGCTCTACAGGGGAGCAGAAGTGCCTATAGAATCTCATTTTATAGTCAGGTAAATGTGGCAAATCACAGAGAAAATAAAATGAGGCCATCTGTTATTATAATAACATAAGTAAACAAAAGAGGGTAAGAAGATGTACAAACATGAATTTTCACACAGCACCCAATTCAAACCTTATGTAATATAGTTTCAAGGATATTTCAATTCAATATATATGGATAAATACCGTCTTAAGTGCAACAAATTTTTATTGTAGTTTTTACTTCTTTTCCTCCTCCACACTACATGTTTCGGCCCTAAATGGCCATCATCAGGTGTGTATCACTCACGTAGCTGTTACACTGCTTTTTAAAATTTACAATTACCAGTCTTTCTAATTGTATAAAATCTTTGTTAATCTACACGCGTCGATTTGATTTTTAAATTAGCACTTTTTAAAACTTAATTCAAGTTAAAATGTCTATAAGATCTCTGTTCTTTCTTTTTCAATTTTTAGTTAAAATTTTTTCAGGGTACATGCCCTATATCTACGGTGCTGCAGCGGCCACTTCTTGTTTTTATCGTTGTTCATGTGTTGTTCAGTGTAGGCGCTCTCTGTGTGTGTCGCTGCTTATCTTTTNAAAAGAAAGAACAGAGATCTTATAGACATTTTAACTTGAATTAAGTTTTAAAAAGTGCTAATTTAAAAATCAAATCGACGCGTGTAGATTAACAAAGATTTTATACAATTAGAAAGACTGGTAATTTTAAATTTTAAAAAGCAGTGTAACAGCTACGTGAGTGATACACACCTGATGATGGCCATTTAGGGCCGAAACATGTAGTGTGGAGGAGGAAAAGAAGTAAAAACTACAATAAAAATTTGTTGCACTTAAGACGGTATTTATCCATATATATTGTGTGAGTGTAACAGGATGCTGAAATATAATATTATATTTCAATTCACCTAGTATCTCAGCTGCCATGCAAGTGTTTGTTTGCCACTTTAGAAAAGGCAACATTTTCTTGCAGATACAATGGAAGGGCTTATTACTGAAGTTGGGAACAAAGATCTTTCCTTCTAGCCTTTCCTGTACTGCCATGCTTTCACATTTCTGTCCTTCAGTCAAAAAACCCAAATATGTGAAGACTAACAAAAATGTGAAATTTGCAAACAGAGACCCAAATGATTTTATTGCCTGCAGCTGTTTCATGGCACCAGAGAATGTGAAAATATTTCAACTGTTACAAGCAGGAATGATTTATAATGTAGAAAAATGTGAAAAAGCTGGAAACAATTATTACAGTATGCATCAAAATTACAAGAAAAAATTAAGAATAAAGTACAACATTTTGTCTAAATATTTTAAAATCTTACATTATAATATTCAACACTACACTCTTTGCTGATAAAAACTAACTTTGTTCCATTTATTTATCATAAAAATTAGATACAGCGTTTTTAAATACAAAGTAAATATCATAACAGGAATGGACATTTATACTAAGAGCAGCAATGGGCATTTAAATAAACTCCAGCCAACTCGAGCTAACACCATTTGAAAAGTCCAGCGTTTAAAGGTTAAATAAACAATAAATAAACAAGTAAATACAAGGATCTGCCTGGACTTTTCACCCAAAGAGTATACATTCTTAAACGTTATATTTTTCCCACGTAAAGCAGTTACCACCAGTGGCTGACATTGTCAAAAAGAATCATGTGTTTGTACTTTATTACGAAATGTGATTATTGACTTTTGTCAGAACCTGTAAATATAACATGGAGATATGCGTCCAAATTTAGGTCCTATATTGGTTTCTCAAACTGGCATTTCAGTAATAAATTTTACTAGTACATTAGGCATACATATTAAATTTTAGAAAAACTAATACAGGTTTAAGTGGAGATTATTTAAGTACCTTAACAGATGGTAACAATACTGTTCCTCTATTTTAAATTTTAAACTTGAACAGGACCCAAAAAAGTCTGTGAACAGTTTGAATTACATATTTTTGTAGACTCATATAAATAAAACTTTGCAAATAGTTAATACCCTTGACTGTTCAGACCAGTTATTCCAAGTCTTACCCCTAATACTAAAATATGCAAATTAATTAGTTGGTTAACTGACATTTTACCTTTAACAGTTAGGTCATCAGATCCAGAGACCATGTACTGCCCTTTAGATTCAACAGTTATGGAACGAACCATATCTGTATGACCCTCATATACCATGGACATAACAGTTGGGAATGGCTGCAGATCCTTAGGGTTTGGCAACTGAGGCAATAAATCTTCAGGTTGAATAGTCAACTGCAAAATAAATTAATAAAGTTATGTGACATATAAAGAGATCTGAACACACAAAAAAGTGACCTTAGTTTTGAATATCCATATTTAAACTCTCCTGACCTTCCATAACACAGTGGATTTCACATATCATTAGACATCTTCCATGGTACAACACACGACATCCCCATTACAGTGGGGCTTGTCCCAGAAAAGTGACTGAAGAGAATTAAAATATTTTAGCTACACCTCTTCAGCTTTTACATATTAAATTGATATGGGTATGAATAGTGAAATGCTACATTTGGAGCATGGTTTTGTATGGGCTGAAACTTGGACACTTAGGGCAGTAGATCAGAAACACCTGGAAAGCTTCAAAATGTGGTATTGGAGAAGGATGGAGAAGATCAGTTGGACCGATTATGTGAGAAATGAATATGTGTTATTTTGAGTCAGTGAGCAGAGGAATATCCTACACGAAATAAGAAAACGGAAGGCTAATTGGATTGGTCATATCTTACACAGTAACTGCCTTCTAAAAGAAGTTATTGAAGGAAAGATAAAGGGGCGGATAGAAGTGACCAGAAGACGAGGAAGAAGACGTAAGAAGATGCTGGATGACCTTGGGGACAGAAGAGGATATTTTCATTTGAAGGAGAGCGCTCTAGATCACATCAAGTGGAGGAACTGTTTTGGAAGAGACTGTGGACCTGTCGTCTGACAGATTACTGATGGATGAATGAATGGGTATGAATATCTGAGAAAAAAATATAAATTACAAATGTTTGAAAATGAAGTGCTCAGGAAAATATTTATCTATGAAAGATGAAGTAAATGGACAGTTTAGGATATCACATAATAAGTAATTTCATGGATTACACATGTCACATAGTACTGATGGGCAGAGAAATCTAGGAGGCTACAACGGAATGAGTTGTGGTTAGGATGGAATGATAAGGAATGAATGCATAGAGCATTCTGGTTGGAAAGCTTGGAAAATGGCACTTGGAAAATCAAGACAGAAATGGGGCAGTGACAATAACGTGGCTTGTGAGGGTGGGAGGTGAACAAAACTGACTCAGGATCATATTCAGTAGTGGTGTTTGGTATTAGCAGTGATAAACCTCTGGGTTACGCTACCAGAGTGTTACTTCAATTCAGTCTATTATAGTAATTTATTCACACTGGAACTACTTTGTCTGCATATAAGCACAGCAAAGTAGAGGAGACACAAAAGGAGATGGGAATAGGAACATATTGGCATTATGGTATTATCAAGCATCAAGACACTCACAGAAAAACAAGCTACAAAGTTACATGCCACAATCATGGTAATGACAATTAGAGAAATTTTGGGCTTGTGGTATATAGGTATTTTCCATTCCATATACGCATGGATAGCAAAATTAGAGCAACATCTTGTACAGATGATACAAACCCTCATTTTCCTGGCTCTAGGACACAAGTACAAATCAAGACAACGTTGGAACCTTTCATTGACAAAACGGTCGTAAGCTGGAACTGCACGTAAAGAGTTGTATTTCTGGGGAATAAAGTGAAGTTTCCTCTTCCAAGGTGTTGTTCTTAGTTTGTTCCACTCCTTGAGCTGTTTCAACATGAAAAACTTCATAAGTACAGTACTTTATTCTAGACAGAAAAGAAACAAAGAGAAAACAGTGCCCCTACAAGAAATTGTGTTTCAGTATACTCCCTGGCAAAACTTTGTTACCCAAACACTAACAAGGGTGAAAAGCTGTACATTTATAATGTTCAAACAGATATTCTTTAATCTGGAATTAAATCCTAGATTAATTTCAGAAATATAAGGAAAAACTTAACCAACTAGAATGTAACAGTTCATTCACTTTTTACATTATAAAACCTTGATAAAATAGATTTACACGAGTGTTGATTACAAAGCAGCATTCCAGCACTATTGAATCATTTGAATGGAGCAGAATTACTTTCTATCACTTACCCGTTTTTGTAATGCAGCATTTTCAGAATGTGTATATAACATCTAACAATTAAACACACACTTCCCTGCTGTAACGTCGTCATGTACTGTCACTCCAACATACATGAATGATCAAAAATTCTTCATAAGGAATTACTTCTGATTTCTCAATCTTAGACAAGTTACGTGCCTGTCGTCGTCGTCGTCATTATTGGAGGTGGGTTTCCCCATGCACTACGACTAATAGGCCATTGTACGTCCCCCTTTGATATTCTACCAGTCTCCATACCTGCCGGTACTGGTGCTCGCTATCAGCCCCGTTCAGCCAGCGGTACCCGATGCTTCCCCATCTACTGGAGGCATTGGAAACTACTCGGGCAGGAAACTTTTTACCTAATTTAGCTCAGAGGTCTCCTAGAGACATGAGGATCTTTTACATGCCGTAAATCTACGACACGGGACCCACGGCTTAAAGTCCCTCCCGGAGGACTTGTTCCCTGAATTTTTCCGCCCTTAAAAATTCCACGACCTCCGTCGGGTTTGAACCCGCGTACCTTGAGTCATGAGGTGGGAACGTTACCCCTAGACTACAGAGGCCGCTTACGTACCTATATCTGTAACAACTTAGTCACTAAAACTGCAATTGAAAAATATACTCCATTGTTGAACATAATTACCTCTCTTTTGTCAAAGAGGTATTCAGGTGGGGGGTTGTAAGATTCAGCATGACCTGGAAGATGACGTTTTGGAGCAGGGATGTGGTTCTGAATGCGCCTCATGTGCTCCACTCCTTCATCAGTTTGCCACAACATGAAAAATTTAGGTTCATAACTCTTTTTCTTCTCCTCTTGAGGTTTCATCCATCCCATCTTTATTGCATGTACCATCTTTGCTACCTTCCTTGCCTCAATTCTACTTGGCAAAAATGAGCGTTTGTGATCAGGAACTCGAACAATTGGAGTCTGCATGACTTCTGATGTAAACCATTCCACCCAAGGCTGTAACACATACAAAAGTGATACTGTATATTTTAGTTTAATCAGATAGAGACAAGTCAGGTCTGTTATCAGCAACCTTTATATCAACACATAAAAATATATAATTATTGACTCTTTGTATAACATCCATCCTGTTTTTTTATTTGAAAACAACGTTTTGGAGACCACTAAAACATTGTTTTTGAATAAAAAACAAGACAATGGATTATGTCTAAGAAGTCAGAAACTGTATTAATATACTACCATCAGATCTTATTTGCATAAAAACATACTATGTATTACTTTGACTTGGGTATTATATCTGTTATTTTTACTTTTCAGCACATACATCATGAAGTAATTGTTTTCCTGATATTACGTTGGTCTTTCATTCTAAGATCCTGTCTTTAACATGTGGGGCACAGTTAAGGATTCCAGAGGGGGAAGGGAATACAAAGGAATTTTACACCAAAATCAATTTTGCAACATTAAACAGTGTTAACTTCAGTAATATTAATAGCTGATGTTGATGTGAATATTTCAAAAGCTAATATCAGACATCTCCCAAATGGAGAACTATAAATGAAAATATTAAGAACAAAACTCCTTCAAAACTGCAACAGAAGTGCATGTACAATATTGTCATGTTTAGGGGGTACGTGTGTCCAAATTAACAGGTTCTAGTTTGGGTGATTGGATTTACTGGCCCTTCGGTTACAGTTTCTCTTAATTACAATTAATACAGCGCTATCGCTGAGTTACACAATTTACAGTTCATCATTGCAAATATGCTGGGATTCTCAGTCTCCACTAGTCATCTCCTACCAACGGATCTAAACACAGAAACTAGCACTTCAAATCGCTATGAAGTCTTTTTGCCATTTCTTGTTCAATCACCATGGAACCTCAGAACTCAACTGAAAAACTTTTCTGGACTCTTCTCAGCTGGAAGCAGACTTGTGTTATATAACCGCAGCACGGACAATGCTGAAAACGTAGTTCTATTGTTGTGTAGTGCAGACCACACAGAAAACACTGGTCATGTGATAGCTAAGCACTGCTGGGATCTGATGTCACTGCACCTGCGCATAAGTGTGTTTACCAAGCCGTTGCCTAGAAGTGGGTTACACAACACCATTGTTCCATTATTTTGTGCTTGTATTACTCATAAATGGCTGTTTCTGTGGCTCAACAGTTCTGGCATGGAGGAAATACACCACAATAATATAACAGTGTCTGGGGCAATGGGGCCCAAAACAATGGACCTCAACATGTTTTCATGCAGGACTGAAGAATAATGCTAATACAACAAAAAGACTCAAAGTAAAAACCAACAACTGGAAATAAACGAATATGTCAATAACATTAAAAATACTCACTGCAGCATCATCAAAATTTGCATCTGGAATTTTCTGAGCCTGGAGCCGCTGGATTATATCCACATCTGCATCAGACAACACAACATCTTGACCAGTCTGGGGGTCTCTCACAGTGCGCCTAAAACAAAAGTCTCAAATGAATGAAGGAAGGAATCTTAAATAAGACACAAAGACTTGTGCATTATTTTTAAATGCCAGTGGGGTGGGACTAAGTCCCTTGTACTGCGGCCACTACTGGCCTTTTGTGCCAGCCCCAGATGATAGGTGAGGGTGATTGTGGAGCAATTGGTGGAATGAAGATTGGCAGGGGAAACCGAAGTACTCGGAGAAAACCCGCCCCAGCGCCACTTTGTTCACCACAAATCCCACTTGACCAGACCCGGGATCAAACCTGGACCACCGCAGTGGGAAGCCAGCGACTAACCGCTTGAGCTATGGCGCAGCCAAAGACTTGTGCATACATTATGACAGTGCACCCCGACTTATTGCTAACTACATATACCTACTGAAATTCCAAGATCTAAGAATAATAATAAATGTAATACAGTCCTCACACATCTGTGCATCCAGCAACCGCCCCTGACAATAATAAATGTGAAATGTGAAAGGCAGATCTAAAAGCGATAATGTAAATAATTTACTTACACTGGAACTGCATACCCAGATTTCAGTTTACTAACTAATTACATTGTAACTGTTGCCTCCTTAACTTAGTTAACCTTCAGGGATTAGTTTTAGAGACTGCTTTCTTGCCAGTTGGTAAGCATAAGTTATCATGGCATATAAACAGGATTGGACAGCAGTGTAAACAATGAAATCAAAGTGGGAATATGAAGTGTATATGGTTAATTAGTTACAAATAAATCACACTTAGAATGAGTCACAGTTCGCAGTTAGAGTATATATTGTGACGCGTTACCTTACATCCATCACCGCCACAACCGCTACAATCGAAACGGACACTTCCGCAACAACAAATACACGGAAACTGTGGAGTTCCCGCAGTGACAGATCGTACCAACGAATTGTCATTGAGTAACAACGGATGAGACAAAACACGTTACCTCTGTAATCTATAGGGAGCGTTCTCGAAGCAACAGATTGCCGAACACGTGAGATCGAACCTTGGCGAGGGGTGTCCTCTACTGAGTCCACATGCGCCTTATATAAAGGGCCTGGCCTCAAACAGAAGTTGAGTATTAGAGAACTGAGAATCAAGTACTGAGACAGAAGCCAAGTGATACTACAACTGATAATAATTGTAATGAGTGTAAGAGTGAGTGTCCAGTAAAGATTCACTAAATCCGAGACCCACATGAAGTTATTTGTCACGTGACAATATATTTGAATAATAAAGGAACACTGCTGTTAAATTAATTATTCACATTCCAAGTCAATGCGGTTCTTATGAAGTATCAGGTAAATCATGACTGGGATTGTTTTGGTTGACTTAGAATAAACACCAATGTTTATGTAAAAGATACTACTCATGGTGATCGATGTAATCTGGAGCCACTGTCCAACTGCACTGCATACAAGGATCTGAAGCAGTACTATGTCTCAAACATCCATAGCTTTCCAAGTTCATTGTCCACAACCCTTGCTATGATTTCTCCTCGGAACCTCCCTAAGGACTTTATCTTCAAGGAAAAAAGGGGTGGTGTGAAGCCAAGAGTTATTACTGTTCCCTTCCCTCTGTGGGGCACAGCATCCTTTAAGGCATTGTTGAGTTGGTAAAAACTGAAATGAGCCATAAACCCTAAAGCAAGAAAAACATCTTTAATCTAGAACTAGAGCAGTGTATAGCCTGCAGCATGATTCTAATAAACGGAACTCAATCCTCCCAATTCTGCTTGCTTCTGACTTTTAAAACTTGTACAAGATAGGTATAGGGTGTTTAAGCTAAACAAGTCAGATTTAACCTGGACTGAAACTAATGAAGGGATAGCTAAAAGGGCAGGTACAATATGTACCAAGTTCAAAACCCAGCCAGAACAGAATTCAGACTCACTTCATGGCAGTAATCATCAGGACACCACTCTATAATGTCACAACCCCTACCTCTCCAAATTTGTCATTTACAATTATTCTCCCATCTATAAATTGACAAGTGAACTGTCACTGTGAAACTGATAAAGCATTCATAAATGTCTAACGAATAAACAAATGGGAATAAATTAATTTGTACTTACCAGAAATTGGGATCCTCCATTCTTTTCAGGAAACTGTCAAGTTCATCTTCCTTAAGAGGTTTCATAACTTTCTTGCCATCCCAGTCATATCCTAAATGTTTATAGTCATCATACCAATTCATAGGAATGTTACCTACTGTATTGCGAATGTCCTGGAAAATAAATGGTAAAGATTACTCTCCATTTCTTGTCATTATATTTGTATATTTTCATATGAAAACCTAAGTATACTACATCATAACCTACCTCTTCATCTGATGTATCGCTCTTATATTCATCATCTGCTTGCTGAATTGTCCTGTTCTCATCTGCCTGTGCCAGCTCATTCATGACATTCTTCTTATTACCATTTCTTAATATTGTGCTTGAAAGCTTTGTACTGGATTTGTTTATTTTTGAGGATGTAGTCTGTTTCAGTTTGAATAATGGTTTGGATTGAGCAGACTCTTTTTCCTCACTCTTATCTGATACCTTAATCCCCTTCGAACTTTCATCATTTTTCCTTTCTTCTGCTTCTTCTTCTTCTTCTTCCTCCTCCTCCACCTCCCCCTCTTCTTCATGCTCAGTCTCTTCACTTCCATATTCACTGTAGTCACTGCCAGAATCATAATCTGCATCACCTGTAATTTCATCTCCCAGGGATGATGCACCACTGTCTTCAGATCCTGATTCTTCACCATCATCATCTTCAAAGACTACTTCATCATCACCATCATCATCATTTTTACCAGACTCATCTAATTCCTCGTCATCTTCATCAGAGCTGTCATCATCATTTGTAATTGATGTGAGAAAGTATTCATCCTAGAAAGAAAGTACATCACAACTACAATAATCACCACCATATGAAGTGTTGCTCTGTGCACAAAATTAGACTTAAGAGTTTGATAAAAACTACTTTTATACAATGTACTTTTAACAAATGCACTACAATAAGTAGTCCTGTGTGTTAATGAGAAAACTATTATCATTCAATTCATGCCAAACCAAGAAGGCATAACATGTCTTAGTAGTTATATATAGTTAAATACTAGTAAGAAGAACTATAAATGATTATAATATGGCAGAATTTAGAATGAAACTAAGTTATGAAAAATGGGAACTAGTCTATAACAATAATGACATTAATACTAGTTTTAATCAATTTTTAAATATATTTTTGAGACATTTTTATGAATTGTTTCCAACAAGTAGACAAAAGTATAAACAGAAATCATGGATTACCACTGGTATAAGAATTTCTTGTAGAAACAAAAGGATATTATATGTTGAAGCAAAAAAAATGTAACAACCCTATAATAGCCACCTATTATAAGAACTATTGTAAAATATTAATCAGAGTGATAAATCTAGCTAAGAAGATGATATATGATAAACAAAATAAATATTCAAAAAATAAAGCTAGAACCGCCTGGAGAATAATAAATAGTGAAGTGTTAAAGAAAGGAAATAGAGAAAATATTCAAACCTTAGACATTGAAGGTAAAAAGAATACTAATTTGAATGATATTGTTGAAACATTTAATAGGTATTTTAGTGGTATAGCGGATAATATACATAAATATACAAAAGGAAATGGTGAAAATAATAAATCTAAAACTACAAATTATATGACATACTTGACTGATGCATTTGAGAGTCCACTACCTAGCATAAAAACTATAAAACTACAAGTAGGGAAATAGAAAGGATTATATGGTCCCTAAAATCTAGTCAAACCCATGGATATGATGAAATTTTGAATAATATACTCAAAGCCTGTAAAATCTTTATTAGTGAACCTATAAGTTACTTATGTAACAGAGCTATGCATGAGGGTATATTCCCAGACAGATTAAAATGTGCTACAATTGTACCAATATACAAGAAAGGTGATAAAAACTTAGAATCAAATTACAGACCTATATCCATATTGACATCTGTTAGTAAGATATTTGAGAAGGTAATGCATGGCAGATTGTTAAAACGTTTGAATGATAATAGTATATCACGCAAATACCAGTTTGGATTTAGAGAAAATCAAGGGACTGAAAATACAATTTATAGACATCTCTGGAATACTAGACTCATTAAATAAAAAAATGCAAGTCTGTGGGATTTTCTGTGACTTAGAAAAGGCTTTCGATTGTGTTAGCCACGATATATTATTAAATGAATTGAATAAATGGAATAAAAGACAAACAATACAACCTATATAAGTCATATCTATTGAATAGAAAACAGAGAACTGCTATCTCCAATAGGACAAACAGTAGTAAAGTAAACTCTCAATGGGTTAAAGTAACTAATGGTGTCCCGCAAGGGTCAATACTGGGACCACTGCTGTTTATAATATTGTGACGTATTTGCGCTATGTAGGACACACCCTCCCCCGCCAGCGGTGACCTAACACCTTCGGAGCGTTGCCGTTGCTACAGTAATAGGCCAGTCAGCACCTCGCCCCCTCCCGTGGTGACGTGACCAAGGGATGCCGCGGTTGCTATGCAGCAGTAAACAAATCCTGACAGCATTGCTAGGCTATCGGCAAACACGGTGTCAAGCAACAGCGGTACCAATCACGTAACTGTTTTCTGTCTTGATTCAGAGTGAGTTAGTCAGCAGTGAGCAGTTAGTAGTGAGTGATTAGACAGTGAGGATTGAGCCAGTTACTAGAGAAAGAGTAACCAGTTAATTGCAGTCTAGTATTTGTGATACTGCCGATGGCAGTAATTGTGAGATTGTAAATGGTGTGACTGTAAGAGTGAGTGTGAAATAAAATTCGCTATATCAAATAAGGCGTGAAGTTATTTGTCGCCCGTTACACACCCAACACGTGACAATATATATAAATGGCCTACCCAAGATTTTGGAGACTAAGAGTATTCCCATTCTATTTGCTGATGATGCCAGTTTTCTGATCTCTCAAAACAATCCAATAAAACTTAAAAATACAATAAAAGAAGTATATAGGATGTTGGAGGACTAGTTTAAAAAAATTTAATGTCATCTAATATAATGAAAACATATTATATAAACTTCACTGTAAAAAATAATGTAGTTAGAGAACAGTTAGGAACGGTTTTATTAAATACAAATCACATAAAATTTCTTGGCTTGACTATCCAAAATGATATAACTTGGGACAGACATATAGACGAGATAATAAAGAAACTAAATACAGCTTGTTATATGATAAGAAATGTAAAACCAGTGGTGTCTGTAAAAACATTAAAAAGTGTTTATTACTCATACTTCCATTCTGTTATGATATATGGAGTAATGTTTTGGGGTAACTCAACACATGCAGAAAGAGTTTTTAAGATACAAAAGAGAGTTATAAGAATAATAAAAGGATGTGGCTACAGAGAGTCATGCAGAGAACGGTTTAGGAATATGAATATATTTCCTTTAAGATCACAGTATATATACTCTCTGCTGATGTTTGTAGTAAAAAATAGAGAAATATTTGATACAAATATGGATCACTATGGAATAAATACTAGACATAATATGTATATACATATGAGCCAGGTAAATTTGGCAAAATATGGTAGTGGGGTAATTCACATGGCCATAAGGATTTACAATGCACTACCTAATAAAATTAAAGTAACTTCTAATGATATAAATAGGTGTAAAAACAATTTAAAGGAATTTATTTAAATTCTTTTTATACACTGGATGAATTTTTTAAGAGATAATGATTATACAGCTATATAAATATATAAGATGTTGAGTAGTACAGTAAATTGATAATCATCATGAATTTACGTTAACCATACTTATAACTGAATGTTTTTATATGTTGGATTTGTTGTATATGTTAAAGCTATATGACCAAAATATTCTGTTACTTTTGATGGAAACTTTTATCTTAAATTTTTATTTTTTAAGTGATAATTTTGAGTGTACTGTGTTAGAGAGTAATTGTATTATGATGTAAACAAACACTGTCACATATTATAAGTCTTTTTAACAATTGCTTGATATTAGTAGCAAGATAAATTGACACAATTCTGTATCTAAGGCTTTAGCCTACTATAGATATAATGGAATAAGGAAGAAATAAGGCCAGTAAAATTGCATAAATGGTTAGATTTCATGAGCAAGCACTCAAGATCCTCGTACAGTGACCCTGAATATCCGTCACTGAATTAGAAGTTTATGAGTTGCAAGACTGCATATAAACTACTGTAATCTACCCTTGGCCTCAACTGGTACAACTGACTGCATGAACATGGTCACATGTGTCATGCAATCTCTTGTGTTTGCAACTGTCCATCAATTTTTATATGCCTTCTACCAATGATGCAACTGAAACTTTGGCTTCACAACCATAGCTGCGCACAATCAGAGAAACAGCTTTCTTACTATCTTCAATTGCACATAACGTTCCCACCTCATGACTCAACGTACACAGGTTCAAACCCAGCGGAGGTCATGGAATTTTTAAGGGCGGAAAAATTCAGGGAACAAGTCCTCCAGGAGGGACTTTAAGCCGTGGGCCCCGTGTCGTAGATTTACGGCACATAAAAGATCCTCATGTCTCTAGGAGACCTCTGAGCAAAATTAGGCAAAAAGTTTCCGCCCAAGTAGTTTCCAGTGTCTCCCGTAGATGGGGAAGTTATTGGGTACCACTGCCAGAAGAGGGCCAACATCACTGGCAGAAAGGGGTGGATAGCGAGCACCAGTACCGGTAGGGTATGGCAACAGCAGAAATTAAAGGGGGACGTAAAATAGACTACTAGTCGCGGTGCATGGGGAAACCCACCCCCTCTAATACTGAATAACTGAATCTTCAATTGCACAGTTGCATGGCAATAGTGAGGTGGTTTCCTTTTATTCCCAAGTTTGTTACTAGTTACTCAATCAGTCATTTCTGTGTGTGTCGAGAGCAACTGCCTTCAGATAAATGCCGCAGCTAACAAACATCACACAACTGCTCGCACCAGTAAGACAGCAGCCTTACATAAACCATTATAACCTAACTAATGCATCTGGTCACTGCAGTGTAAGAATATACTGCCATTAATGAAACAAACTAATTGTACTTATGACTGCTTTCCATGAGCAGGGTCACTGACTTTGTCTGATCTCTTGAAACTCTGTGATGGGGACCATTTTGACACAATCAGTTTTCTACAGCTGTGAACATTAGGTTTGCATTTACATTTACATTTATTTTTCACTTCGTGGATCCAATCATCTCCCCATAGGGCTAGATATAAAACATGTAACATATTACAAATTCTTGATCACTCCACATCATTCGTCCTTGGCCCAATAAAATACATAATCAGGCCTCACACAGATAGCTCAAGTTGTCAGGACAACACACAGGGGTCATGGAAAAACCACTGTCAAATTCACACCTTGCCATTCCACACACACTGGCAAGTCATATCATCCAAACAGTTATATTATAAAATATTAAAATTCATATCAAAAACATACTACAACACTTACAACAAGCAAGTCTCAACAATGTATAATTCACACACACAGACCATTTATTAACTATTAACTTTTGAGCCCCTTGCATAGTCAAAAGATTCATCAATAGAGTAAAATACATTACTTTGCAAATAATTTTGTAAATCAAACCTAAATTGCTTTTTATCATTTTTTAAAACTGTGATATTTGATGGCAGAGTGTTCAACAGCTTGACGCCTGAATAATACACCCCTCTCTGATAGGATGATAAATGTGTTGAAGGTATATGAAGGTGGTCATTCCTTCTGGTACCAATCACATATACAGAGTTATGGCTGGTTATTGTTAACGATATGGCTACCCAGCCTCAAGAAAATAAAGCTTATCAGGTAATAGAATTTGAATGAAAGCTTCCATTACCCTAGAACATGGCATGGTGGGAGTACTTAAGCCATATTCTGCACTTTAATAAAAAGAAACCAACATAAACCAAACCAATCTACTCGTAACTTACTGCAGTCATAAGATAAGTTGAGCTCTAACTCAAGGGGCTATAAGAAGGGAACAGATATAAAGAGGACAGAATTAGTTTTAAAAATAAGCTGTCTTTATATCTTATGAATAATTCCTTTTATACAGTTTCTGAATATGTGGAGCATAACATAAACAATTAGTTTTAATTATTCTGTTATCTGTGTGTTTGTTTAAATTTTTTGTATTTGTCTTTTTTTTTTATATGATGACCTTCATGTCCATTTGTTTTGAACTTATGAAATGAAATGTATGTATGTATGTATGTACCAAGACTTGAACATGCATTGCTCTGTTCTATGCTCCGAGCAAGAAACACAGCACCTACAGTAATTCATGCAGCTGTCCTCATTAAAGGAGCTGTAATAACGTTTTTTGCTAGACAGACACCTGTCATACCATAATTTGCTTTCCACAAAAGGCATTTTAACCAGATCTTTATTTTGCCATTGCTTAAGTAAATTAACACTAATAATATAAGAGAACAAATATAATTTGAATGATCTGACACTCCCAAGTTTAAGAAAACTTAGATGGATCTATTACATGCAGTCCTGGTTAATTAGGAAGCAGAACAAATGAGTGTACAGACACAATAAGCAAGTTGCAGAACAAGCACAAGACACATGTTGCACTTAAATATCATACTGCACATTTCAATATTTCATGGTGGCATTTTAACACCAAACTTCTTACATGCAATTATAACCTAAGAATAACTTTTGATGCAAATTATATCATTTGGTAGTGTGACTCAAGAAAAATTTAAGATTTACAGAATGGGTTCTATAACAGAATTCAGAATATTCTGTCCTTGTCTGGTATTGAGCAATATAAACATAAAAATATACAGCACTGCAATTTTTGACATTGTTTTGTGTGAGTGAATATCTGGGTTAAAAAGAGAGAAGGCAATATGAGGCTTAAGAAAATTGCATAATGAGGAACTTCACAGAGCTAAATATTATTACAATGACCAAAACACGTAGGATGAGATGGGCTGGGCATGTAGCACTCTTGGGAGATAAGAATGCATATTAAGTTTTAATAAAAAATCTGAAGAAAAAAGACCACTTGAGACACCTAGATATAGATGGAGATATATTATCAAACTGGATCTTCAAAAGCAGGATGGGTGTTGCCTGGATTTATCAGACTCCACTTAGGTACTAGTGGAGGACTGTGAATACGGCCAAGAACCTTCGGATGCATAAAATACTTGCAGTCTTATTATCTAATTAACTACTCGCTTCTCAGGAAAGATTCTTCTATATAGCGTTGGTTACTCCGCCGTTCATTCAATAAGTCTTAAACAACAGATCGCATGGCAATCAAGCATGAACCTTCTACACACATGCACACATAACAGAAGGAACAAATTATAGTTCACAGGTAATTCGATATTAGTGTATAACCTGATATGCGTGTCTCGTGTCGACCAGCTCCTCTGATGCGTCTGGGACATATTCATTTCTGCCCGAAACAATGAATTTTCTCTTCTTCCCTGTTCCAACCGCGGCCATGTTTGTATATACATATGCCACTCTGTTACAGAGTCGTGCACGTCGTGCACGTGTACTGTCGAATGTGACGGATAAGTATTTGTCCTATTCGAAAAGTCATTCGAGAACTTCGAGAACTTCGAGAACTGAATGAATCAAAAATGTTGTCGGTAGGCCGTGTTTATCCCGAGAACGTTCTACTCGTTCTAATTGTTCTAATTTATGTTCGGTTCACGCATTTAAGACCCATACGGCTGCATGCGACGACCTAACCGCAATTCGCTTTTTTTTTCCGATAATAACCCCCCTCACCCGGCTTCAAGTACAAATTTTGTAGTGGGAAAGAATTGAACTTTGTGATATGAATTTTTAAAATGCATTTAGTTTTATTTTCTTTATCGAACAGGTTTTCATTTAGTTATAAATGTCTGTAAGGACATGTAACTGTCCAGACAGGTTCGGGGTCCCACCCAGCCTCCTGTCCAATATGTACCGGTGGTCAAGAGGCCGGGGCATGAGGCTGACCACACACCTCCGGCTAGTGCCAAGGTCAAGAAAACGTGGATGTATAGATCCACTCCACAATACGCCATTGCAATTAGAGTTTTAGTTTTCCTCTATTTTACTCTGTCATTTTTTTTTGCAGTTTTTGAGCAGTGGGATTGACTTAAAGATGGATACCTAAGAGCCAATTAGGTATAAGCGTGGATATCGCCTTTCTGAAAATAAATCATAAATCTATATAAAATTGAAAACTGCAGATACTATATATGCAGCCCTTATGGTTAGAAACATTACACAGGAAATGAAAACCACTTACCAGTTTGACAATGCCTTATATCTGTCCCAGAAGTTCACAGTATGAGTGTTCTCTTATGCAATTCAGCTTGTCTGGATTTACCAACATGTTCCTTTTATATGGCATTTTGTGTGTGTGTGTGTGTGTGTGAGGGGGGAGGGAGAGTTAGTCACTATTTTGTTAATGATCACAAGAATGTCACATATATCCTGAAGTCTCGTCATGGACATACTTAAATAAAAGGATAAATTTATACTTTCATCAGTTACTGTGCAACAATGTGGATGTTTTCCTGTACACGGAAGAACCACATTGTTCAGGGTCATCTCATATGCCTACTTTAATTACTCAATCAAATGGTCTTCCCCCTTGCATCCATTATTTCAACATTGCTAAACCATTGTGATTGTTTCTCTTATAACTCTGTTAATGAGGATCCAGGATAGTGCAGTCAGTATAGCAACTGGCTACAGGCTGGACGACCGAGGGGTCGGAGTTTGAGTCATGGTAGGGTCAAGAATTTTCTCTTCCTCACGTCTTCCAGACCAGATCTGGGGCCCATCTAGCCTGCCATCCAGTGGGTACCAGGAGGCTCTTTCCCCAGGGAGTAAAGCAGCCAGGATGTGAAGGTGACCATTCACCTCCAACTAGTGCCAATGTCACAAGAATGTGGATCTATACATCCACTCTCCCATACTTTTTCATGGCATTGGGCTTAATTAGGTAAGCACAGGGACAACTTTACCTTCACTGTTAATGTCCCTTGTCACCATGGCATGTCATGCCCTCAGGTTGTGGATGGAGGAGAAAGTCTCCAGTTATGGAGGGTAGTTGCAAATATATTGAATAAGCAATCACGGACAGCCAACAAGGGGTGGCCTCCAGCTGGAGGATTGTGTGTGGGGCTAACAACTCCTCACTGTAAAAAAGTAAGCTTGTTATGAAATGTCATAAAGGCCTCAGACTTGGATGGATCCTTTGCATAAATGACCTAACCTAAGGAAAATGAACACGAGATTTTGTACATAGAATGTAAGACGTCTGTAAAGGGAAGGTTCTCTCATGACACTTATAAAAGAAATATCAAAATATAAGTTAGATTTAGTGAGAGTATAGGAGGTCAGATGGGACAGAGATGGCACCGAACCAGCATGCCAATATACATTTTTCTATAGAAGGGAGAATGAGAATCATGATTTAGGTACAGGATTTTTTTGTACACAAGAGAATCATATCAGCAGTTGAGAGGGTATAGTTTGTTAGTGATAGGATGTTGTACATAATACTAAGAAGTCACTGGTGTGATATCATTGTTGTGGACATTCATGCCCCAACAGAAGATAAAATTGATATGAAGGACAGCTTCTGTGAGGAACTAGAATGTGTATTCAATAAATTCCCTTAATACCATAAATAAAATTTTTATGAGATTTTAATGCCAAAGTAGGTAGGGAAGACATTTTCAAACCAACAATTGGGAATTGAAATTTACACGAAATTAGTAATGATAATGGAGTTAGAGTAGTAACCTTTGCCACATCAAAAAATCTTACTGTCAAAAGTACAATGTTCCCACATCATAACATTCGTAAATTCACTTGGACATCTCCCAATGGAAAGACAATCAAATTGAGCATATTTTGATAGACAGGCGATGGCATTCAAATATACTTGATGTTCGATCGTTCAGGGCAGTAGATTGTGAGGAATGAGGTGACAGGAGACTGGTGAAAACTGCATAATGAGGAGCTTCATAGCTTGTACTCTTCACCAAGTATAATTAGAATGATTAAGCCAAGGAGGATAAGATGGGCAGGGAATGTAGCGCAAATGGTGGAGAAGAGGAATGCATATAGGATATTGGTGGGAAAGCCAGAAGGAAATAGACCACTAGAAAGATCAAGATGTAGGTGGGTATCTAATATTATGAAGGATTTTAGAGAGACAGTATGATGTGGTATGAACTGGATTGATCTGGCTCAGGAGAGGAACCAGTGGAGGGCTCTTTTGAGCAAGGTAATGAACTCTTGGGTTCCACAAAATGTTGGGAAAATCTTGAGTAGCTGCAAAATGGGCAAATTCTCAAGAAGGGCTCAACTCCATGGAGTTAGATAGTTATAACTATGTTAATTATTTTTTAACTCTAACTTCTCTAAAAGTCTCAATTCTTATAGCTTACAACGTCCACAAATTCCTCTCTTCTACATGTTTCTTGTAAACTTTCAGTATTGTGGAGGCTGTGTACTGATGCATTGTACCATCTCTCTGATTGGACTAAAAAAGAACAGTAGGCCAACTGTTGGCATGTTCTTATTTTAATATCCCCAATATATATGGGTCATTCTGACCATGCTACAGTGACAACTTCATCCATCTAAGGTAATTTAAAAGCGGTATTCTCCAATTTTTACTTCGACTCTGGGGCTCAGTTGGTATAGCTACAGGCTACGGACTGGGAAGCTGGGCTTCATTTTCCAACAAGGGCAAGAGATTTTTTTCCTACACTCGAGCATCCAGAACAGCTCTGGCGCCCACTCAGCCTCCTATCCAATGGGTATAACAGCTCCTTTCTCCAGGAGTAAAGCAGACAGAGCGTGAAGCTGACCACTCACCTCCGTCTATTGCCAAGGTCAAGAATGATAGAGCCACACCTCCACTCCCCCCTTATGTCCTCATGGCATAGTGCTTAATTAATTAAGCACAGGAACAAATTTATGTTTTAAATTTTACTCAGCTTTGCCCTCACTTCTGTCATTCTATCAGCATGAGCTAATCTTACTGTCCTCCCAAAATAAAATAAGTTATGCAAATGTTGCTGTGAAGGGATTTTATCCAATGTGGTTATTATGTCTTAGTGACGGGGGTGGATGGGATATCTCACCGCTGTCACAAATTTTTATTATTATGCTGCGATGGCAGGGGTGGGTACACACAATATTAATTCACTACTTCAGCCAACCCTTCGTTGACTCGCTCCCCACCGCTGCCACCGATTGTTATGCCGTAAGGGGGCGCTCAAGTAAATTTACAGTCACTGATGTAGCTGCCACCTTGGCTTGAGTTGCAATTCTCCTAAAGGATCCGGGAGATGCAGGAGAATTCAGGGAGGATGGTAACGCTTGAGGGAAGGCTAAGTTCAATTAACATCACAGTTCATTTCTATCCTACTCTAGTCACCTATGTCGCTATATACATAATATATACACACTTTGCCAACGTCAGTTCGCATTACATTTGTGTTATTATCCTGTCGTACACACATTAGTTCTACTCCTGTCACCCTGCTATTGGATATCCTATCCCTCTGTCTCTCTTTCTCTGTAAACCTAGTCCCTCTAGTTTTCACTTTCTCTCCCTGGAGTTTGCACTTTAATATTATCACACTTAATATTCATGGCTTATACGAAGTAAGTCTACTTACTTGAGCTGATGAAACAGGCACTCGCCACCCCAACCTCTACTTGGCACCATCCCTCTCTCGGCGATAGCCTCCGGCTGAACTCTTTGACAATTAAAAATAATAATCTTTTTTTTTTTTTTTGATCGATTCCTCTAGAGTTTATGTACCCTCTTTTTGCTGACTGGCTGGGTTCCGGGGGTGTATTCGCCCACCCATCCTGACGTGATTTTGGGTCAGTGTGGCCCACTCATTTGCTGTTTATCAAAAGGGGGTTGGCTCTTTCAGGTCTACTGCTCTCTCCGACTCAGCAATTTTCCCATGGCCTAGTTCTTTATGTCCCACTTCATATAGCCTCATCCTCAATGTCAGCATTATTACGCTGTCGCGCTAACATTCTGATTACGAAGCTATTGCCTGTTACACTTCTTTGCAAACCCAAGCTTCCTGGTACATTTCATCATTTCTATTTCTTAATCTTACAGTCTAGATACCCCTATTCCAAATTACCCAAAAAACATATCTACTTGTACATAACCCTTGGGGCATAACAGTGGTAATGTGTATTCATAAAGGCCATACTTAAAATTTATACTACTTACCAACCTTGAGTAATAGCTCCAAGAAGCAACTGCATGAAATCTCTGATGTACTTACACTTAAAATATGTTATATGATTCATCGTCTGATTCTGAATATCAAAATTGCAAAAAACAATGAAAGTATATGAAAACTATACACCATCTATCATCTCTTGTAGATACTTTCTGAGCAGAATTAATTACTGAAATATAATAACTAGGGGGAAAAGGTGTGGTGAAAATTCATCTGACTCAAGACAGCATCCAGTGGCAGGCCCTTGGGAACATGGTTATGAACCTATGTGTTCCATAGAAAACAACGAATTTCTGACTAGATGAACAACTCTTAGAGTCACAATTAACGATTCTTCTCCACTGAGTTAGAAGTTAATTTTACAAGTTATTTTCTAATTTACATATTCTACCTACATACAGTAATAATTTTTGTAATTCATTTTGAAGTAACAGGACAGAAGACTTACAGTAAAAAGAATGTTTACCTTGATTCAATATTTTTACACATACTTTTTCAAATAAAATTATTATTTAAGTATTGCCTATAACAGACATATATGTTCCCTCTCTGTAATTCATTACATCTGTGGGAACATCCCACATTATCATGCATTTTCTGCAACGCACACACTTCACATCACTTTTCACCATCACGCGCACTAACCAATCAAATTGTTCCAAACGTTCGCATTTATACTGTGCTCGCTGCTAGCCCTGCATCTACATCATCACGCGCGCTAGCCAATCAGCGCCCTGCAAATTCTTCCTCCTCAATTTCAAGTTTCGCTCCGCCCACCGAGCAGTGTATAAAAAGGAGCAGCCGCAAACCGGCAGCATCAGTCTGACTTCAGTCTACGATCAAGCCACTCTCAAGCAACATCAGCCAGCAGGCTTCGTCGCCAGCGCTCGGTCTTCGGAGGCATCAGCAGGCTGCGCCAGGCACGACTGCCTCGGCCCTCCGGCTCTCACACCCAACACACTGGGGCACCTCACCTGGACTCACCGGTGGTCGTGTCCCTGTCCAACCCACTGGGCATCTGGTGTAGCCACTCGGTGGTCGTGTCCCTGTCCGACCCACTGGGCATCTGGCGTAGCCACTGCCTCATCACTCCTGCGACCGCACTGCGCGACCACGCAACTTCAACTCACCTGCCACACGGCGATCAAGCAACCTCCAGCAACGGCCGTGCTGTGGCCAGTCAAATCACCGCAACTAACCTCTCTCCCTACCAGCGCGTGCCGCGCTACCTCACCGATCAAATGTCTCAGCAACCACGGTCCTTTTCAGACCAACAAACTGTTCTGAAGAAGTGGGTTGTCATTGAAGTAATGACAAAACTACATAAAACCCCACACATTTTTATTATCTTGTATACTGAACTCAGAGTGATGTTCTCTGTAGCATGTCAAGTGTAGGTAATTGCAGGATGTGAATGTAGCTCAAACTCCAGCCAGAAAATTTAAAGACTTGCAGAAAACAATGAGATCATGGCACACAAAATACTTAATATTGTGTACTACAGAGATTATGTGGCACTGAATGAAATATAGGAGGACAATCATAAACAGTATGTGTAGAAAGCAGTCATTGTCTATTTTACTTCACTGTCCTGACATTTGTTTGAAGAAATTAAAGAAAACCAAAGTTAAGCCTTTTTCAGGATAATTAGTAACCATCCAAAATTCACAATTGTATCTCTGAAATACGAGTATAAACTAGGAGAGGTCTCCATGACAGATATTTTTTTAAACTTCACAAATTCCGAATGTGATGCTTATTATGTTCCTGGATTTGTATTTTTAACCCTAAGTTAACTCATATGAATCCTTTATTATTTAACATTTTTCTTAAACCATAAATATAATATATAATCTTCAGTTTACTTTAAAGAAACATTCATTTAAGCTTAAAATCATTTTATTCATTGGTATGAATCGACAAGACAACAAACAGTCTTTAAGGCAGAGGCCAAGCCTCACCCCTTCTTCAAGAGCAGGCTCTCCTTACAACACTCAATAAATAAACAATTAAATAATATATCTTCCATATACACTGTACAGCCTCACATTCAACAGTAATGTTACAATTGTCTGTTGGAAACATAAAGCATAGATATTAATAATAATCATAAAAAAATCAGTAATACTCAAATGTAGGAATATTAAACAATTAAGCATTAATAAAACTGAAGTAACATATCAAAGCTCGACAATATCAAGTATATTTTTCATGTGTAGTTTCTAAGATTGTCCAATAAAATATGAAACAAATAATGATGCAAGAAATTAATAACGACTGAAATGATAATTATCCAGCATATTAGAGAACACCATTTAACAAATAATACCACACGACTCATTCGAAAAACATGGGTCCAAATTTTGGCCATAGTTTCCAGAATTAATATTTAAATAAAACCTGTTGTTGCTATTGTTGTTGTCATTATCGTCATTGTCGTCATCATCATCATCACTGTTGTTTATATTCAATTATTTATTTATCTATGTGCTAATTGAGCAGTCAAAAGGCCAATTGAATTGAACTGAATTGAATGGTGGTAGTGGTGGTGGTTGTTTTGTTGCTGTCTGTACCATTCAATCAAGTTTTCATGAATGACACACTTGATATCATCTATTAAACAGTGGTACACAATCACACTACAACATAGTGGAAAATTTGTTTAATTGCTTTACAGTCTTCATTTGCCCTGAATCAGAAAAGTGCTGGTAGTCATATGAACAGTATATTGTTCCATTACTTCTCTTAGGACTCTACTTCCTCTTACTCTATTCTATGATGTTTAAGTTATTCCTCTTAAAATTCAGTTCTATCATTAGATTCAAATTCTCTTGGTTGTATTATGAAATTGACTTATATAAATTGAGCTCATGATGCAGGAAAAGTGCATAATATATATATATACCTAAATGCAGTATCAGTTCAGTTAAATTATTAAAAAGGAAACCAAGTGAAATGACAGGAAATACAAAAACATGTCTCTAATGAAACAGTTTACATGCAAAGTGTAAATGATTTTGAAATGTGTTTTCGATATACAAAGGGAATTTTAACTACAGAAACAAAGAATAATAATATTCTGCTATCACCAACTAGGAAAATGTTCTGCCCTCATAATATGTGACTTAAGCTTCGGTTAAGTTATTGATGGCAAGTTGTTTAACTAGCCACAAAACCACAAACAGCACTAATAATATGATTAAGGTAAAGCTTCCAATAAAACCAGCCACTACTGCAAACTTCATATACTGGTTGACCTTCTCTTTTCTTCTTCTAAACTAATTTCAAGCAACAGTGTACAATAACTAAACTTAAAGAAATGAAATGAACAAATTTTAATACAATGTGAGCTGGATATTTGTCATGTAGTAAGACAATGTATTCCGAAAATGTACAAACTACTCTTTCATTATCACCTTTGTGAGAATTGCAGAATCCTTTAGTAATATTTTATCACACCATATAAAGTAATAAAGTAGAAGTAAAAAAGTAAAGCTATCCCTGTAACAGGCCTTGAAGGCCCATAGGGTTGTGAGACGTTGAGAGTCCCACATTATCCAGACAATTGGCTCAAAGATGGCGTTAAGGTTGTCAGCCTTACATGCCAGCTGCGCTTAACTCCCCAGGAAAATTATTTAATTAATTCCTGGTACTCATTTTTGTTAGAGGCTGAGTCGAACCCAGGGCCATAGTGCGGCTGGAAGGATTAGGTCAATTGAAAAAAAAATCCAGTGACCTCATTGGGACTTGAAACTGCGACATTCCATCTTGTATCATAGTGCCTCAACCAACTACGCTACCGTGTGCCCTTACATAAAGTAATATGTAATGGTAAATAAAGTTTAAAATGTTACAATATTTTTATGTAATTTTAAGTCATTTTCCTGTATACATGTGCTCAACTCCATTTCTATATCAGATTAATTTGAATAAATTGTTTTGAAATATACAAAAAAGAAACACTTATCCTACAATTCTAAAATTATTTTATTTTGTGATTTGCTGATTATTGACACGTGCTACCAAAGAGTAACATTTTATGTTGATATATTAAATTTTTAGATTAATGAACCTCATAACAGAAAACATAGTTCATATAGGCAATAGGCAACTGTTCAGTGAATTTTGTGCATTCTGAAACGATTCACAGTTTGGACGTTGCCTTTGGACAAATATACACAATAATTTTATTCATGTTCAAAAATCCCTATGTAGTGAATAAATAATTTAATCTATACAAAGATATGTGCCCTTGTAAATTTGGTATGAAGGAGTAACCTAGCAATTGCATTTATACTATTATTGTTAATATTCAAATTTTAAACTTTATTATCACATGTGCAATTTATCTAATGAACCATTTTCCTCATGACATGGATGATGGGTGTTGCTGTATCATAGTTATTTCCTGACTGCCCTTTTCTATATCAACATGATGAGACATACATATGACGTGTGAATGTCATGAACTTATATCAATGCCTGACCTTACACTAGAATCCTGAACACAGATTTGTTGCAATAATAGCACAGACTTCTTCTTTGTTAGTCACAGTCTTGAACCTTACCATGCTTCTGTATAGCGGACATCAAATTCCTGTAGTGCTGGTAACTTCTGCTTTAGAATCTCGAACGTTTGTGCTGATAACCTGGTACTGTTCAAGTTTAACTTACGTAGGTTTGTCATGGCTGCAAACAGAACAACTGATTAGGAATAACATCTCCCAAACTCTTTGATCAACGCCTGACACACTCGGGTGATGATCGACTCCAATGACATCTGGAGTACAAGAACAAAATGTATTGCTTGAACAAAGGAAGGGTACAATGATGTACACCTGAACAAATTTTTCAACCTTTGATCTGTCAAGTTGTGCTAACACAGTCTTAGGAACATGTACTGTTATTGCTGAAAATCAGTATTTCCCAATGTTCCTCAATCACAAACCAGAATGACCACGATATGCATACTAAGCACTTCTGCCTCAAGAATGAGTGAATGTTCTCTTTTCAGAGGTGCAATTATTATGCTTGTGCTGCTCCCTCTGTGTAAAAGCATGATCAGTACAAACTTTAATTTGACTGCTGTTGATGATCACATAATAATCTGGGGTACAATTTACAGTTCCTTTCCCAATTCCTGCTGCAGTTTAAACCATTTCTATCATTTGAGACTTGGATCTGTGATATTATAACATGGAACCTGAATTTGTAAATGTTTGCTTATTTAAAAAAAAAATACTTCTCTTTAATTTTGGAGAAAGCAAAACATACAGCTCTGAAAGAATGCCTGTTCTGTTAGGGCAGGTGAGCAGTTACTAGTATTTCTTGATCAGCTGTGTTTGAAGTTCTGTGCTAGCATTTCACTGCTATTTCAGACATAAATTATATTCTAATAATGTAATCATTATCCTAGCATTTACATGAATATTTATGGTACTCAACTTCTAGTATGGTATTCAACTTCTCAATTAACATCTCTGTAACAGTTCCGATTAAATTCCTTGTTTTTGGTGTTTTTACATTTCATGTAATATGTATCCAAACTAAGTTGTACTGCATACCGAAAACCAAGCAAGCAATTAGTTCTGTGTGTTCCATGTACAAAGATATATAAGTCCTTTAACTATGTCAATGATGAAATTACTATGAAATATATAATAATAATGGAAGAAGAGTAAGGACATTTGCAAAACTCTAGCCCTCTTCAAAATAAACTTGGAATTTTGACCATTAGACAGATAGCACAGCTTATTCTCAATATGTGAAGAATGTTCTTACCTAATCTACTTTGCAACATACTAAAGATCAAGCTACATAACTAATAATTTTACCAGTTCTTTTATAAGGTTGAGAAACTTACCCACTTGCTCTCAGGTAAGAATATAAACCAAAAATATTCAGAGAAATATAGTAAGTGAGCAATTTAGGTTATTACACAGTGAGCAAATTCTTTAATTTACACCAGTCATTTATCATTATTATGACAGTGAAATCAAAGAGATTATATGGACTGAACATATGAACCTTCGACATGAAAGACAAAAAGAATTTTGGTGGGAGGATAGCTTGGAAAGCAGTCACTTGGAACATGAAGAAAGAGATGCATTGCACTGATGGGAGGTGGTTGAACAGACTCTACATCATGTCCAATGGCTCTACAAGCACTTGTTCACTGCTTATGAATTGAATAATACAATAATAATATTTCAATAATTTGCCAAGATACAGATCCATTGCCATTATAAGACAGTAACTGAAAAATAAACAGTTGGCACCAAGTTAGAAACTTGGAGCTTAATAAACACAAGTAGTGTCCACCTTCCATTTTTAATAAATTCTGAATTACCCACTGCATGTGATCCCTACAATGATTGATCACTTATATGTAACTCCTTTCAGAACAAATTCTAATGCCACTAAATAAATCATCACCATTTGTTCAATACTTACAGGACAGAGCTGCAATTCCTTTATCAGAGACTGGGGTTTCACATAGGTTCAGGACTTGTAGTTTGTGCAAATGCTCAGAAATCATCAACAGTCCAGCATCACCAAACTGAAATAAAATAATCTGTAACTCAGAGCTCCAACGCTCTATTACACAGTGTTAAGAAAGACAGCCTAATGAAGAATTTGCATACATGTTAATTATATGAAAAGTGAGCACTGATACTGCAGGAAAAAAACTTCAAAGCCTTGTTAGAATATTTACATTGAATAGTTAAATTACTGCATTTATATTGTGATGTATAGACCCACTGCTAGGCAATGGTTCAGTAAACACCTTCACGCAGAGACAGATCCTTGGTAAACAGCCCTCTGCTAGGTAAACATGTTCCAACAAATACGCAATAATAGTTGACATCCATTGCTAGGTAATGAAAGAGTAAACACACATTCTTGACAACAGAAAATGGTGTTTTCAGTGGGGTCCATGCAAAGTGGTTCTAGGAAGTGTTTGGCAGGACAGGAGTAGTAGAAGCAGAGTACACGGAGTATACAACAGTAGTCGAGAGTAGTCAAGAGTATTTGAGTCGAGTCTTCAGAACTGGCAGCTGCAGAATAATGGCAAGAAAGGAATTAGGTGGTGCAAAGAAGACTTCACGTGTGATATGAAGATATAGTGAGACTGTGATAAATCTGTTGCCAGGATAGGACTAGTGAAGTCTAAGAATTCTATTGCATGAGCAACAGTGAACTGGAAAATGCGTAGAATAGAGACGGTGCTGTATTGCTTGTAGTCCTGAACTGTGTGAATGTACACAGTACAGTAGTGTACAGTGCAGTAAACCCAATCATCGAATCCAAAACCAAATATACATGTGACAATATATACAGTATCATATTGTTACAAACTTCTATCTAATATGAGTTCTGCATTCCTCACCTAAGCAAGTTTTCAGATCACAGTCTTCTGAGTTGTGATGCTACATGGTTTGGTGGACAGGTACTAACGTTTTGGAGGAACCTGTTGCCTCCATCTTATGGTAGAACAGACCCTACAGATGAAGGCAGCAAGTTCCACTGAAAACTACACACCAAGTTATGTGGCATCACAACTGAGAAGACTGTAGGCTGAATGTTATCTGAAACTATCTAGTTGGCAAGAGCCTTTCCTGAAAACTTGTTAATTATTTACTTGATTGCTCAAAGATTTTACTAAAAATTAATAATCAGTGATGCCTATTGTAGCTGCCCTTACAATAATATGCTGATTAGAGCATAAACGACAAATGATACAAAGTCCGTCCCAAGTGCAAACAATATATATTATATGTCTTTGATCTTGTTCTTTCTACACTACATGTTTCGGCCTCTATCGGCCATCATCAGGTGTATACTCTTAACGTTGCTGCCACACTGAACCCAGTCTAAAATTTAACATTTAAAAACACAATGTCACATTCTTCGTATTATCAACATCTACATCGTTGATATGTGTCTGGTATGTAG